AAAGAATTAACTCTTGAGGACGGATACCCTCGACTCCTTGGCGCCTCGCTACGCCAACCAATTAGGCGAATTCTCACATTATTCCGTTTGCTATTCCATTTTCTATTCGCTGTTTTTGTTGAACACCAGATTGCCTGTACATCTGCTTTATTTTGTATACGTTTTGCTATGTATTTAGAGCTTTTCCGGGCTCCCAGCTCGCGCGAGGGGGGGTGTTAGTACCCACCGGGTCACGTGCTTGACCGCCCTCGCTTTCTGCCCAGTAGACATAGCTAGCCTGAGCCGATAGGCACCCAATCAAACCAACTATCCACACACACCAAAACAAAGAAACGGTCACGTGATTTGCTGACTCATTGGTGAGCTGACCTGTAGTCACCCGAACCTCCGCAATCGGTCTTATCTTATCGCCACATCACCTGACCGGCCTGTGTGACTCAGGCATTGGTTTGATAGCCTCCATTCTTTCGCTCCTCTTCCTGTCACACCAACTTTCCTTCTTTTCTACATCCACCACCTTCTCTTCTTCCTCAATTTCCTTCTATTCTTCGCATTTAGTGCGTTAACGTATCTTTTTCTTGAATTGACAATCGCTTCTGGTTTCCTCTCCTAGATCTGCCCCGCCATTTGATCACTCTCCCCGCCATGGATCACATCAAGGCGACCTTTGCCAAGTGCAAGGAAGAGAAGCGCGCTGCGCTCGTTTCATACATTACTGCTGGTTATCCTACCGTCGAGGAGACCGTGGATATCCTGCTTGGATTGGAAAGTGGCGGTGCTGGTATGTCAATCTTTTCGTTCCTCTCCCCGCAACTATTTTTTTTTTTTTTTTTTTTTTTTGCCTTGATTTGCTAACGCGGTCTCCAATTCATTAGATATCATCGAACTGGGCGTTCCCTTCACCGATCCCATTGCAGATGGACCAACTATTCAGACAGCCAACACCAAGGCCCTGCAAAATGGTGTGACTGTCACCACGGTTCTCGATATCGTTCGCACGGTGCGCAGCAAGGGTCTGCAGACTCCCTTGCTTCTCATGGGATACTACAACCCAATGATGCGGTATGGTGAGGAGCGTATGCTCAAGGATTGCAAGGAGGCTGGTGTCAATGGATTTATCATGGTTGATCTTCCTCCTGAGGAGGCCGTGCGGTTCAGGAATATCTGTACCAGCTATGGGTGAGTCAATTTCCTCCTCGTTGGATTGGCTGGCATTTTGCTTACTTGATAAGTCTGTCCTACGTCCCGCTCATCGCCCCCTCGACCTCTGAGTCTCGAATGAAACTGTTGTGTAACATCGCCGATTCGTTCATCTACGTGGTGTCGCGCATGGGTGTCACTGGCGCCACTGGTCAGCTCAGCTCGAATCTCGACGAACTTTTGGCTCGTGTTCACAATTGGTCCGGCAATGTGCCTGCTGCATTGGGATTCGGTGTCAGCACTCGTGAGCACTTTTTGGCCGTGCAGGACCTCACGGAGGGTGTCGTTATTGGCAGTCAGATTATCTCCATCTTGGGCCAGGCCCCTGCAGGCCAAGCCGCGAAAAATGCACAGGAGTACCTCTCCAGTGTCACTGGCCGTAAGCTGGAGCGCGATGCCTCGGGCGCCGTGGTCAACGTGGTCAATGTGCTTGAGAAGGTAGAGAAGAAGCCTCAGGCTATTTCGCAGCCAACGGAGGTCGTCACTGACGCTGACACTCCTGCCGGTCCTGGTTTGGCTGATCAGTTGGCTGCCCTTAATGGCACTGGCAACCCTGCTGAGCAGCCTTCGCGCTTTGGTGAGTTTGGTGGCCAATACGTACCCGAGTCTCTGATGGACTGTATGGCCGAGTTGGAGCAGGGTTTCAGCGATGCCCTGAACGACCCGTCGTTCTGGGAAGAATACCGCTCCTACTACCCTTACATGGGCCGACCCAGCAGCCTCCATATCGCCCCTCGTCTTACTGAGGCTTGTGATGGTGCCACCATCTGGCTCAAGCGTGAGGACCTTAACCACACTGGTAGCCACAAGATCAACAACGCGTTGGGTCAGATGCTCCTTGCCCGCAGACTGGGTAAGACCAGAATTATTGCTGAAACCGGTGCTGGTCAGCACGGTGTTGCCACTGCGACTGTCTGCGCCAAGTTTGGAATGGCATGCACGGTCTACATGGGCGCTGAAGATGTCCGCCGCCAAGCTCTGAACGTGTTCCGGATGAAGCTTTTGGGTGCCTCTGTCGTTGCTGTTGATGCTGGTAGCCGTACCCTGCGTGACGCGGTCAATGAGGCGCTCCGTGCGTGGGTTGTCGACTTGGACACCACTCACTACATCATTGGTTCTGCCATCGGACCTCACCCATTCCCGACCATTGTTCGTACCTTCCAGTCGGTCATTGGTGATGAGACCAAGCAGCAGTTGCAGCAGCAGATTGGCAAGCTGCCCGACGCCGTTGTTGCTTGTGTTGGTGGTGGTAGTAACGCTGTTGGTATGTTCTACCCGTTCTCTAAGGACCCTAGCGTCAAGCTGCTGGGTGTTGAGGCTGGTGGAGACGGTGTCGAGACTGCTAGACACTCCGCAACCCTCTCCGGTGGCAGCAAGGGTGTTCTTCACGGTGTCCGCACCTACGTCTTGCAGGACGAGCACGGCCAGATTTCCGAGACTCACTCCATCTCTGCTGGTCTGGACTACCCTGGTGTCGGTCCGGAACTGAGCTCCTGGAAGGACAGTGAGCGTGCCAAGTTCATTGCCGCCACCGATGCCGAGGCCATGACTGGTTTCCGTGCCCTTGCTGTGCACGAGGGTATCATCCCGGCTCTGGAATCGTCGCACGCTGTCTTTGGCGCCATGGAACTCGCAAAGACCATGAAGAAGGGTGAGAACATTGTCCTCAACCTGAGTGGTAGAGGAGACAAGGACGTGCAGAGCGTTGCCGATGAGCTCCCCAGACTGGGTCCGAAGATCGGCTGGGATCTGCGGTTCTAGATCTGCACCCCGCTCGGCCCTAGGGCTTGTTTTTAATTGTTTCTAGAAGATGTTTATGCATGGTGCTATGGATTTCTTTTTATTTCTTTTTTCGGGGTTATGTCTAATGCGACATTGAAAAGTCTCTTTTGGATGGACTTGCCTATGTTGGACGACAGTAATGGATAAACCTACATCTATTTCATTTTAGGGGTTTTCTTTTTTTTTTTTTCGGAATAACCTTGAAGATATCATGAGCCACATGTGAATGAAATTTAGCGAATAGAGAAAGACTTGTGAATAGCAAAGTAATTTACTCTATTGTTTTTCGTAGAGAGGATCCTCTATCCCTTGTCTTTCACAATTTCCACATTCGAAAGAAGCCCTGAGGGGACCATCGTGAACATCAACTAGCATTTTGCTCACCAGGCGAATAGGAGCCAATATTGTAATATCCCTTTTGACGTACGCCGTCAAACAAATCACACAAAACTGGCACACGCCCTAACTCAAACCGATGACTATACAGAATCTTTATCAAATCAGCGATGCCAGGCTACCACCAGTTGTTTCTGTCTTCCGAAACCAACCAACATTGTCTGTCTCGATGCTATATATCGACTCTGATGCAGAGATAGCTTAGTGGCCATTGCACAGGCCGCTGGGACCAAGACGGAACAGAGCCTATAATATCTGTTCTTGTCCTGCATTGGCCAACGACCACTAAGTTGTCTCTGTATCAGAGAATCGATCTATAGCAACGAGACAGGCAAGGATGACAGAGCTTGCTCTGAGTTTTCACTTGTTGAAAGATATTTCCTTCGGCTTTAACCCCTTTGAAGCAGACGTACACAATGTTGTCATCGCATGTATGATGGCGGGACAGACAATTACGGAAATGTTCCATATTCGTCCTGCAGTATGCCTGTTGCGCGAGGATCGGAGAGATTCTATTGTCAGATGGATACAAAGATGATAAGTCTATGATACGGGCGGATGTTGCCTTGCAACTAGAGGTATCCGTGAGCCACATGGGAATGGAAGTCTTCGATTTCCCGGAGACGCGCAACGAGAATGCGCAGGTAGCGAGAATGGTTTGCACAGATCCAGGCCAACAAAGTACATGCAATAATATCCATCGTGGAGATGGAGTACCTGGCCGTGAAGGAGTATGTGCTCCGGCCTCAGTTCAGGATCTTATAATAACGATAAGGGAAGAAGTATGTACCCGCTGTCCTTGAGAGCCAACATCATATAGAGAGATGATACAGATACGTATATCATTGTATAGATTGGCCAGGAAGGGCTCGAAGTTTTAGACCTTTGTGATTGGATTTCTATACAAATTCAAGGCTTCCATGCTAACAGATATAGACCATCAAGGTGTTTATTATGTTATCAAGGCGCGCAATTTGCATGTAAACTTGCTCTTTCGACAAGTAGTATATTCCAGTCTACTGGATATGACTGGGTATACTTTTATCAACTTGGCTGATTCTGATAGTATTCAGAAGCGAATACGCCTACATAGCTAATAAACGAAAAAAAATGAAACACACTTTGCCGTTCTCTAGGACAAGACTTCTCCAAGAATTTGAAGATAGCACTGATTTCGTCAATGCAGATGGCGCGAGATACAGGAGAATAATCTAGAATGGGTCAAGCCCTTTCGGGTTTTGGAGGACTTTGACATCGGGATCCAGATATGTATAAGCACCATGCGACAGAGGGTAGCCTGGCGGTGCTGCTCAGGATTCTTAATGGCCACAATACATAAATACCGCTGACCTAACTTCAACATATTATCATCAGCAATAGTACTAATTACCGTTTGATTGGTTGGGATACCATAATAACATGCTTTGCCATAAGGAAGCCCACCAGGATGTATTTTCATTTGGACTGGCCGAGTACCAAGCGCTTCTGTGACTCAAAACTTGATGTCGGATGGCAAACAACCGAGTGATCTTATATATATCGACCCAAAAGCTCTCGTTTTCTTTCTATCTCATATTCTATACCAGTTCCAGAACCACTAGAAAGCCAACCCCAACACCAGAATGGACCAAAACACCCACAAACCGGAAGACAGCAAGAAAGTGGAAGATGACATCATAAAGCTATAGGGCATATATTTATTCAACCAGTTAGACCGATCTGTTGAAGACTTCTTCAACGCACTCGGCGCTCTATATGGTGACGATAATGCTGGAGATGATGTTCGCAAGCGAGTCTTTAACCTCATCGACTTCCTTTCGCTAGGATGCAGGAAAAGTATCTTCGAAATAACCCAAAACGCATCATTAAGGGATGTAACCAAAGCGGCTGGTCGTGGAAATGCTGTCACTAATGCGCACTTGTGTATCACGGGGAAAGGAAAGAACACAGAAGCATACGTTGCATTGTATGGACTGGAGCCAGAGAAGGTTCTCGAATTCCGTGAGTTAAATTATCCAATTCCAGTATAATTAAAGGCTTCCATGCTTATGCGATTGCTTCAGGCAAGTATCATGTCTACTATGCAATTGAGGCGCTCAACTACCATGCTTGGCTCATTGCTGAGAACGAGAAGGAGGATGATATCTCAGTAGATGTGAAGGGGAAGCATCAGAGGTTCTTGCAAGAGCTAGAACGAACGGAGCACTTTTCTGTCTCACCAAAGACGGAACACGAGTCTCCATTGATGAAGTTATATTATGCATACATGAAGGCTGCCGGCCATGACTCCGATCGTTGCTTTAGAGCCGATTTCTAGTGAATAGACGATTCGTTACAAGTGAAGGATGGCTTAGCCGAAGTCACTAGTAGTGTTATTCTTTATGATGCATATATATTGTCAATAGCAACTTTTGTATTCATTCATCTGCCCGAGAGACTTTTCTCATTAGTGAAAACTTAGATAGAGCAAGGTTTTCCTAAGATGCTGGTCTATTCGTCTTTCTTTTTACTCAGCAGTTCTTCTTAGCAATAAACCATCGATCTTGTTCATCCCAATTGAGCATTCTATTTGATTGCTGCGAAAAATTCAACGCAACAGCCGCACCTTAAACCAAATCAAATGGCATGCACAAGCTGCCCGTCCTCGAGGTCAAGTGCTTCCCAAAACAAGCTCCAGGCCACTGTCACCGAGAAACGTCCATCTTATCGACCGTCCGCCATTGAGCACCATTCAACCAGGATGAACCCTTATCCAAACCTCAATCAACTTGACAAGCACAGCCTTAAGACTGGACCAAGCTGGAACACCATGGGGAAAAGAGTTAGTGGGAGGCCATAATAAATAACATGTCAAGACTAAACAGGGGCTACCCAAAAGTGCCTGGTCCAGACTCCTAGACTACAGTCTCAAAAAGCTACTCAGATCAGAGCGGACTGGGATGCATGGATTGGTTGAACACAGAACAATGAGCCAGTGAGGCCTTTTTAAACTGCCTTGCTTTTGGATTAACATGCAGTATAGTCCCACTTCCTTGGGTGCTGACATACAGTCCTTTATACAGGCGATGGCGTTAAGTATCAAATTAATAGCGCGGGAAGGACCAACATATAACTAACTAGTTAGTTAGTTAGTTATATCAACAGTATTAAAAATCAAGCAGCCTTACTAAAGACACTGAGAAGCCGGCACGCCAACTTCCGCGAGATACACGACACAAGATTCGAACCAAAAAGATACTTGAGGACATGTGCCTCAAGGGCAAGTTGGCTCGGGACACAGAGAGCACCAATGATACGGGTTTCGTGTGATCCTTCAACTTTCACAGGCGTGGTTCTCCCTCATGGGGCAGTCATTTTTGCGACATGACATTATCCGTACACCAATATGCCTGCTGCGCCAAGATAGGGGAAATTTTGCTAAGTACTGGGTATGATGCCGAAGCGTCAATTGAGGACCCAAAGAGGACAGCCACCATGGCTACTCGCAGCCCCGATGGTAGGACAAGACATGCAAAGCAATGCGGCATCGGGGACTGAAGGTGGAAGTCCCGAATCTACTAATACGTGGACTCCAATGACTTGGCTGCATACTCCGTAATATTAATCGGTTGATAAATGTTTAATAATAAGCCCTGCTAACTATAGATCTATCAGGATGTACATTTTCATCGGGACTAACTAACAGGGATTAGACATTTGACCTAGTGTTGGATGCCAGATAATGGAAATCTCATTCTCTTCTTCTACTTATAAAAGGCCATCTAGAGCCTAAGCCTGTTCATTCCTCAACAGACAGCCCCCAATACCACGCCACCCGAAACGACCAGAGAAACCGACCCCGATACCAAAATGGACCAAGACACCAACAAGTCCGAAGACCACACCCACACCACAGAACAAACGACGGAACAAGATCCATCGGCAAAGCTGATGGAATCTACCTCCAAACTTGTCAGCACACTTTTGGACATAAAGAAGTCCAAGCCAACCGTCAACTTCATGGAGCAGCTTGCACTGGGGAACAGACTATGCTGTTCTAACTTACAAAGAGACCTTTGCGGATGCGGTTAGAACGGCTGGCGGCGGGGAGGCTTTCCTTGATGCATGCTTGTAATTAAAGGGATGGAGAAAGGATACGGAAGCATATGTCGCGTTGTATGGACTGGAGCCGGAGAAGGTTTTGAGCTGCGTGAGTTGAACTCAAAGTATTGCAAGGAAGGCATCCATGCCAATTAAATATTTCAGGCAAAAAAGACGTTTTCTATACCATCTGGGCGCTCAGTAACCATGTCAATCTTGTTATTGACGAGGGAAAAGAGGTCTCAGCGGAGGCACAGGAGAAATATCAGGTTTTCCTGGACGAGCTACAAAGGACGGAGCACTTCCCTAGATACCAGAAGAACCACCCTGAGACTCCGTTGGGCAAGGTATACTCGAGCATATGAAAGCTGCTGGCTATAGAATCCTCTGATGCTTGGTGGTTTTGGTGGTTTGTAAATTGCTTTTTTGAATCAATGGATGTTCCATTTCCCAACGTAAAGCCGGAGAGAATCGCTGGCGTATTTGGATAGCATCACATCTCAAAGTGCAGTAGTACTCCTTCTACACTGTTCTGTTCTCCTCTTAATCATGTACACAGAGGGTATATGCATTCTGTATGTCATGTAGCCGCCCAGAACAAATGCCTCATTAGGGTAGAGGCTAACTTCATACCTGGTAATAAGTGTGTTCTTGGGATGGGTATCATTGGTTGCTGAGCTCACGAATACCCCTTCAAGCAATTTAGAGAGATACTAGCCAAGCTTCCGATAATGAACAGATGAGAATAAGAACTGCGCCTCTGACTGTATGCTCCCAACACTGTATTTCGGGATACAAATTTGGAAAAGCTCAAGGCCTCGCTCAGACTTTAGAGGCTACAGCACCGGCTTCCGAATATGTAGAAGCGCGATATGATAGGGGAGACTTCAACAGTGACAATGAGTCAAAAATGACTGCTACCGTATATGGTTGCACACAGGCATGTTGGCACCAGGCAAGGACTCCAGAGACAGAGCGATGCGGCAATTTGACTTGGCTGCTTCTGTATATTTGACTCATAGTACTTGATACTGTGTGGTTGGCTGGTAGATACAAATAAGAAGCTCTACTATAGATACACAGGAATGTATTTCAATTAGGACCAGCAGGGATCAGGCGTTTCTATGACTCAAACCTACTGTTAAATGGAATATAAAAGGAAGCGGCGGAAGTCTTATTTCCTTCATCTCGTTTCATCATTCTAGCAGCTCGCGTAGCTTCTCTATCTCAAAGCCCACCGTAGCTCTGGTCACCAATGCATACACGGAAGCTGCTGGTCATAAAGATGATTGATGCTTCGCATTGTTTATTTGGGATTATTTAATGGCCTTTGGATTTTCTGTTGTTCTGTGCAAGATCCGAGTGAATCATTGGTTTAGCCCTATGACATTACTGCAGAATGTAGCAATGCCCAAGAAAATAGATCATAAAATTGAGGGTATTATGGCATAATCACTCTTCCAAATTTTAGTAAAATGCTTCACAAAACGAGACGGTCGACTCGCATGACCAGATTTCCCCTTGTAGACCCCGACTTCCTGTCACTTTCCTCCCAACACAAACAAAACCCAGCCAGCCTACAACACCTCCTTTTCACCACAAAATTGCTCGTCTTCTCGCTTATCCCCTCTCACTTCTCAGAACGATATTCAGAATTCTCAGTCTAAACACCCTGCAAATCCAACTCCCACCCGAAAAACAACCATGGACCTCTCTAAAAGGCAACAGGCCATTAAGGACCTCCAAGCCCACGCCGTCGAAACCACCACCAAACTCGAGGCCATGACCAAAGCCTACAACGATCTTAATATTAATTATAAGCTTCTCTCCGACGAGCACGATAAAATGGCCAAGGACGTCCGACTTCTGAAGCAGCTGCAAGATTACACCGGCCTTAAGGGGGAGTTCGACGGGATCGTTGAAAAGACAGGCTACAATGCGGATGCTATCAGCGATGCTCGCTTGTACATAGATGGCGAGAGGGACGATATTGAGGTTTACCTTGCAATGTACGGGTTGATGCCGGATAGGGTTCTTGAGCTTTGTGAGTTTGGTCGAATCTTCTACCGTGGGATTGTATGCTAATTGATGGTTTTATTAGACCTTGATGGCATCGAGTACGCGATCAAGGTAATTTAGTATCAGAACAATCTGCAGTGGGGGAAGAAGGATGAGATCCCGGATGTTGTCATGGAGAAGTTCTTCGACTTTCTTCGCCAGGTGCGGCGGACGGACAACCTCCCCTCAACAGAGGATCCAGGTACCCCAGTGGGCAAGGCTTATCATGCTTATTTTAAGACCGTGGCCGAGACCATGTTTTGATTCTGTCTATTGGAATGGGTAACGTCCTGGAGTGTCGGGTTCTCGGTGGTGTGATTGGGGGCTGTTTTACAACGGGTAACCTGTGAGAACTTCTGCTATCACCAGTCAGAAACCGTTGCAAAGAGAACTAGGACTAGAAGCTTAAGTCCCTAGCTGTGCGTTTCCTAACGCTTCTCATTGTGTTTGTTGAGGTTTTCGTTGTTTGATATTTTCTTCTTCTCGGAACTTGTGACAGTTCGCTAGCAGACTAGTCCTGCACCCATTTGTCTAGTATATTTTAAATAGAGCATTCAATGTACTTACCTTTCCAAAAATTGGCGGCACAATCTATACGTGACAAGGATGTGCTGTGGCCAAGAAGTCGCCGACGCTCAAAGATTCAATTATGCATCGTAATTACCAGTACACTCGTAATGAATCAATGGAAGGAAAGCTTTAATGTATGGTAAAATACATTCGAACTCGTCTAGCAGGATCAATTCGAAAAGGGAGTATTCTCAAGCATAACAGCAGCCCCCAGCCGGGATCCAATCACCAATTGGAACGGAATATTCATGCTTATAAACTTCCATCTCAATCCCCTCTCTTTCACAAACATCTGACAACTGCTTTTCGCTATTCGCAAGGCTCTCAGGATCATCGGGATCGCTAATCTTAAAGATCGCATAAGGACATAACCGGATGCAGATGTTTCGGAGGAATGGCGTTGCAGATTTCCAATTCCTGCTGGTGAGAAATGCATGCACGCAGTCCAGGATATAAGAGCCTGTTTTCATCTCACAATCTTGCAGCTGGCACGGGTCATTCCTCAAGCACAACTTACGCAGTGTCTCAGGTAATGCGGCGACCAAATCAAAGTCAGCTGCAGCTGTAGTTACAGTTCCAAAGATGACATAGATTGGTATTTCAAGGTTTTGAAGGTTGGTAAACCTTTTCAGAATTCCGCGAAAGGGTTCCCATGACTCTAATCCCTCTTCTCTGAGTTTATCGTCCTCAACCTCCTCACACTCGCCACAGCATGAGTAGTATTCCACCCCAATGGAAAGATTCTCAACAGTATCGCTAACCAACTCCAACGCCTATGCAAGTAAGTGATGCCCAGGTACCGGCTGATCGTGCCTTTCGTATATCGGTCCCAGATGGAGGTTCTTCAAGGAGGGCGTCTGGGACAGTAAGAAAAAGATATCCTGCTCTGGAATCTTCGAACGCGTTAGGAAGAGTGTCTGCAAGCCGCAGAGATTCAGTTTTATGTCTTCCTCGCGTTGCCTTCTTTCGAGCCCTGTAACTCCCGTAAGAACCAGATAATGTGTGTCGAAACGCTGAAGAGAGGGGAGACAAAGCCAAGCGATGAACTTGTTTTTGTCGTAGCCCCGGAGGTCATTAAATAGCCATTTGTGGATATAAGAAGGGCTGTCGTGGTTATGTCTACCGTAGTCGACTTTCTGGAGTCGGGAAAATATCGAAAGCACCCCTTGGAGAAAAGATGAGAATGAGAGAAGCGCATGCTTCACCATCTTGTCCGCGTATCCAGATTTCAAAAACTCATAGTCCAAGCGGAGACAATTCAACATCGAGAGCTGGGAGATAAATATCGAAATGAACGCTTCTGACACGCCTTGTTGGAGAGCTGCGATCCAGACGTCTGCATCTGGGAATTGCGCACGATTGATAATATCAACGCACCCCTCAACCACGTCCATAAAACCCTCGCATCTCCAGTCTGTGCCCAGTTCAGCACGTTATTCTGTTGTTGCTAGAAAGCTGATATGCCACACTAAAGAGGCTAGATCTGGTCATCTAAGGATAGTTCGGAGTAGCCGGAGTAGTTGTCGCAGGGCTTTCCTTCTATCCCAGCCCCAAAAAGTTTTCGTGTAGAGAAGAGGCTCGGTTGCAGCGCACATGGCTTTGCATGTTCTTGAAAGGATCGAGATATCCCTAGTTGAAAGTCTCTCAGTAACGTTCAGCCAGTAATCATATGGAAGTGAAAGAAAATGGCAGCCAGCCGTGGTGTATCTCGGGGCATCTATGCTTTAGTCAAGGTAGAATACTGGCGAGATTTTATGAGAAGCTTGAGTAGCGGCACTCTTTCTTTTCGGCTGTACATTTACTGCAGCCAGTCACATGGTTTGTACAGTGAGGACTTGCAAGAAAGGGCCTCCCTAAATCATTCAATCCCTTCATCTCAACTGTTACCATCATCATGACTTCCACTGCAACTTGCCTCTTTTATCACCTCCCATACGACTGCTGGCTAAACATCATAAATCGCCTCCGTTCCAATGACATCCTGGCCCTCTCGAAAACATCCCGTGCCCTACACACCTCAACCAACCACCTCCTCTACAGAGACATAAAATGGCTCTGGAAGACCTGGAGAGGCTTCCTGAAACGACTCCTCCTACTCCTCCAAACCATCCTCGCGCGACCACATTTAGCCTCGTTGGTGCGGAACATAACTTTCCTCACACGCGATCAACAGCCATACTTAAATTGGACTAAGCCCGACATACCCTGGAGGGCTCAGGCGGGTCGTTACAAGGACATGGTTGCAGGCTCAGTGGATATCATTGAACGTGCGGGATTCCCAGACAATGAGGCGAGTGATTGGATTTGTGCGCTGCAGGGGGTGAAACGGAGGCGTTTATCGCGGTTCTCATCTCGCAGCTTCCAGGGTTGACTAGTCTGTGGTTGGACTGGGAGCTCGCTGGAAGAGGTGGGTATCCGGATAGGATGTTGAAGAATGCGCTGTCATTGGACATGGGACTGCTGTCAAAATTTTCCTGTCTTGGGCTGCTTGAATACGGTGGGAATGTGCGACAACCTATTGGATACCATGCTGAGCCAATCTACGAGCCCAACTTCGTCTCTGATAGCTACCGAGGCCCTCACAACAAAGAGCTATGTATCGGCTGGTTCTTTCTTCCCTTCACTCGGCACTTGGAAATACGACTCCCAGACATCACACTGCTCAAGCAAAAACATCCTGAGGAATTGAACCTCCGCCATTTACGAACTCACATTTTAGTGGTCGCCACGATATCAGAGCACGATGTCCTCTTCTTACTCACCCAGACATCATCTTCGCTGCAAAATCTCCACTTGGGATTGACCTTCAAAAGACATAACCGGCCCATTCTCAAGAATCGCAAAGTCCTCGCTCAGGCATTAGCGTCAGTCAGAAATTCCGTGGAGAACTTCTGTATGAAGATTGAATACTACTCATGCTGCGATATGTGCGAGCAGGTCCGCCGCAATAAGCGTAGGAAAGAAGTGTCATGGGAGCCGGTTCGTGAGGTCTTCAAAACGTTCACCAAGCTCAGAACTCTGGAGATACAAATGGCTGTTCTTTTTGGACCTGACCCCGATCAAGCTGACACTCAGGTTGCTCTACCTTGCACATTGACCAAGTTGTGCCTGAGGGATGACCTGCGTGAACCACACCGGCTCAAGAAATGGACCTATATTCGCACTACAGACTGCACGCATGCTTTTCTCAACACAGATTGGAGATCTTCAACTCCTTTGCTAGGATATATCTGCCTCCGGCTATGGTATTTGGATGAGGATAACGAGTATGAAGGCTATGAATCTGACATTTGTGAGCACCAAGACAATAGTTGGGAACGATTGAGATCTGTGTGCAAAAGGGAGGGAATTGAACTGGAAGATCTTGATCAAGGGTATCCAGTTTCAACTGATTCGTGGATTCCGGATACCAGCTGGCATGCGATGGCTCCTCTCGCACACCCTCAGTTATTTTCCGATTAGGTCCTTGAAGCCTTGTCATTTTCTGTTCTTTTCCCTAGGTCGCCCAAATTGGTTGGCTTTTCCCCCGTTATTATTCGCTGCCCAGGTGTACTGTGATTTTCTCTTCAGTTAATCAAATTTATTGCTCTCTAATACATAATTGGGCTTTGGATAAAGGTGACAATCTCTTAGCCACAGCACGCTTTTGGTCATATATTGAATATGCCGTTTTAACTGCATGGAAAGTGAACGTTATAAAGGGAGAAAATCACGGAAGCACCTAAACACCGAAATTGAAGTAACACAAACAGGTCAATAGAAGAAGACTTTGCATCATATATAAATACAGCTTCGTCGGCTGCTTGGAGAAGAATAGAAAGACCACACTTTCAAGGCTCAGAGGTACAACACTAACACTAACACGACACACACAGAGACAAGATACACACGAAGAAAGGTTGATCACCATCCCATGGTGTCACGGACAGCTCTCCAGTAGTTGTAAGTGCCGCTTTTGATAAGAGACTCAAAACCCTCTGAGACAAAACTCGACAGAAATAACTTCCGTACGAAGAAGTGATGTTGCTTTTCGACCTCAGGGGTGATCTCTCGCTGCGTCAGATGAAGGTTGGCGTTATGTTCGAGCACCCTGTTCACGTAGTCGAGGCCTCGCTTTTCTAGGACAATCAGTTAGCCTGACAACTTTTTCATCGGACAACAAACTCACGGTAATCAATGACTGTCTCCGGCTCCGAACAATACAGCGAAGTAAAGATGAACCTGTCCATAATTACGCCACTCACAAAGAGCTCAGCATCCGTAAGTATGTCTGCTTTGTAGGTCGCGTTCTTCATGATCTGCTCAGCGACCTGCTCCTGAGAGACATCGTCGTGCTTTCGTAGTGATTCATGGACAGCTATATACTGGGCGAGCTTTGCAGTGTCGTATTCGAGAAGGTAGCAGTCGATGTCGAGCTCGTCAAGCTTCTCGGTTTTCTGTTCGGGGTTGAGGGTTTTGATTTCAGTAACGCGTCTGCGTAGCTCTACGGTATCCTCCTTCAACCTGATGGTGCTATGTGACAAGCTCATTGTTTCGAAGTTTCTGAGCTGGGATTGGGAAGATTGATATCGTTTCGTGACTTGCAGAGCGGAGGGAGGAAAGTTGTTTGGGGTTCTTCGGATGACTGTCTTTACCGACGTGTATCTAGGGTAAAGTACTCGCCAGGTTAGAATTGGAACTTGCCCGGCTACAGGGCCATGGAGATGATGTACATGCCTTCAGTCAATAGAAAGGAGCTCGATTGTATCAGGACGGCCGATGGTTGAAGGAAGAGAAAAATGGTGGGATGCGGATGGAAGGTGAATGAGAAAAGGAAGTCGCCCGTGACCGAAAGAGGAAACCACACCACCTCCCGCATAAAGCGTAACACTCGATACGTCCCAGTTTCGATCAATTATAATCTACTTGCAAAAAAGAGGGAATTGATCTGGAGCGTGATACGCTAGACCATTTAGTTTCAGCTGGCACATGGATCCCAGACTGGAATGTAAGAGTAGTAGTTGAAGCAGGCAAGCAAGACAGCAACATGTTCTCGAGTCATGTATTACTAGGGTCAAACCTCCGAAGTAAAACACTTATCAACAAGCGACACAGAGAAGATGACGGGAGCCCAGACGACAGAACCAGCCCGCGAACAAAAAGCAGCACACAGGAGATAATATATCACCAACCCGTTGTATCGCGGACAACCTTGTAGTAGGGATAAGCGTACTCTTTCTCAATGAACGGAACATTCTCTGCGAGGCACAAGTACGAATAAAGGAGCATTCGTAAGAATATATGATGCTCATGCTCCACTTCCGGCGTAACCTCTTTCTTGTTCAGAAGCAGGTTTGCATGGAATTCCAAGAGTCTGGTGGCGTAGTAAGATCCTCGTCTGTCTGTTACAATTGGTTAGCACAGAATGGAGAATTCAGGATCCTTTTTTGCATGGAACAAGAGCCGGTTTTACTCACCATACTCCAGCACTCTGTCCGGGTCTTGGAAATAGATCCAAATGAACGTGTCCCCTATTAATCAACCGACCACTGGCAAAAATCTGAGCGTCGGTGATGATATCCGCCTTGTAGACTGCTCTTCCCATGAGCTCATCAGCGACCTCCTTCTGCTTTGAGGCGTCATTATGTTTCTGAACTTCTTTGAGGGTGGAGATGCTCTGGAATAGTTTGGCGAAGTCGTAGGCGAGAATCTTGCAATCGATACGAAGGTGATCAATCTTCTCTGCTTCAGACATGCGCCTGACCAAGTCGTCGGAGTCCTCTCTCCACCTGGTGTAGCGCTCTGACAGGTTTATCTTGTCGAAGCCTTTGGCTATACCAAGCTGGAATCGAGAGGGCGGTGGACTGCTGTTGGAGGAGAGTAGTAAGACGTCGGAGGTACTGAGGATGCTCTATTCAGCGACGCGTATCTAGAGTAGACTGCCAGCTAGGTTAGTAGCTCCTGCCAGGATATAGGGCCATTGAAGACGATATACAAACCTCTAGTTGTCAAACGAAAAACTCGCTGGTGGCAGGACAACCGATAATGGTTTGAACGAAGGAAAAGGTTCTGGAGGAGGATGGAAGGGAGGAGATGCGAAGGAGAAGGAGAAGAGGAAGGTTCCCATGTCCCATCCAAAAGAGGAAACAACAACACCTCGGACTTAAGGTTCGATTGCGGCGCGCAATTCTTTACATGTCATTCAAGATATTAGATTAGCCCTCAAGGCCTTTAGTGATTAATTTGAGCTTAGCGATTACACGCAATACCTGTCTATAAACTGTATTGAAGCTAGCTTTATGGTATTTTGCTTCCTAAGGCTTCTTCCTGGAACCTCTCCTCAAGCCGAACTCTTGGAACATCAATGTATTAAAAGAGAGTAACCACATGATCAAGGGTTAGAATACAGTTGGTATCAGCATATAAATACAAGCAACAGCACATTCTGAGTCATATCAATACAGTATTATGTCAATTGCAAAGCCAGCATATCAAAAGAAATAAACTGCATCGTCAGAACAGCAGACAGAGACCAGAAGCACACCCGACAGAAGCAGCGCATGACAAAGAGCCTCAACTACCATCCCATCGTGTTCTGAACAGTTTTCCAGTACGGGTAAGCGTCCTCAGCAAGAAACGTACGGCCTAACTTGAAGGAGGAGTTCGATAGAAACAGCATCCGTATGAAGCGAACGTGCTATTCCTTGACTTCGGGGGTATTTCGCGTTCGTTGAGGAGGATATTTGCATGGTATTCGAGGAGCCTGTTAACGAAGTGAAAGCCGTGCTTCTCTAAAATGAATCAATTAGCAAGGTGGTACTCCAGGTAGTACCAGCTAAACCCACTATACTCGAGAACTTTCTGGGATCCTGGTAATACAATCCAAGGAAGGTATCTTTTTCGTCCTTCATGCCACTGGTGAAGAGTTCTGCATCTGCGATGATATCCGCCCTGAACTTCATCTGATTTATAAACTCCAGAACACCGTCTTCGTCCCCATCACCACGCTTGCCAAATTCCATAAGCAGCTCGACGCTCTGAACATTTCTTCCGCAGTCATATATGGCAAGCTGGCGCTCAATCTGGGCTTCTTCAGAACTCGCCTCCAATTCTTCAGTGCTCTTGAGGGCCGCAGCAGTCTTCTTCTGTAGATCTTCCAAGATGTCCATCTTGGTAGGGCGAGGGCGGACGTTAGTTCGTACGAGGATAGGGTTTTGTAGCAGACAAATTTAGGATATAAATGTTATGGTACAAAGAATGACGAGACGTAGAGATGAGGTAAACAGAAGTCGTGTCTTCATCGAGGTGTGTCTAGCCAGCCATATTAGTGGTTAGAGGTTGGCAGGCTATAGGGATGTGTAAATCTCTCAGATCGTTGTCAAGTCATTGGAGAGACTCTTGATAGTAGAAGGAACAGGTATCTTGGAGCGTGGGACACGAAGATAGATGAGGAGGTTTAATGTGGATGATGGTAATGAGGTGTAGATGGACAGGAAGCAGTGCGGGATGAGGATGGCCCACCATCCAAAACAGGAAACATCAACATCTCCTAAGGTCCGGTTTCGCATCTTACATGTCTCAATAATCCTTTCTATGGCAATTCTTGGTCTTTTGCTTAAGTCTAAGCCGTGAAGCATTGTCCTTGATGGTCATGGGAGTGCCTGAAGTTAGTATTTTTATGATATTATGCTTTCGAAGGCTTTTTTTTTGTTTGTCTCGGATAGACTCCTTGGATAAAGGCGACAACAGTGAATTCTTTGACAAGTATTGACAAAACACCATATCAATTGCTTGGGAAATCAATGTCTTGGAAGGGAGAAACGCGCAGAAGCTCAGAGGTACAACATCTAAAGAAATATTTGAAACAGCAAACAGCAAGAAGAAACACATAAGCAAAAGCATCATACAGTATTGAAGAGCACACAACACAGAAAAGCATGCAACACAGGCACTTAGAGAGCATCATCACCAGCCCATAGTATCCCTCACAGCTGTCCAATATCCGTACGAATGCTCCTTAATCGGAAGCTCAAGTTCCTTGTCAGACAGGAAGCCGGACAGAAGCAACAGGCGTATAAAAGTGAAATGTTGCTCCTCGACTTCTGGGGTGATGTAGCGCCTATGCAAACGGAGGTTGGCATGGTATTCGAGTAGACGGATGACATAACGAAGGCCCTTTTGGTCTAGGACATTGATCAGCACAGCAAGCAGCATTCCAAATATAAATCAACATCTCGACTCACGATACTGGAGAACCGTCTCCGGATCTTGGTTGTAAAGGGACGTGAACTTCTCTCTATCCTTCCTAAATCCAGACACGTAGATATTTGCATCCGCAACAATATCTGCTTTGAATTCCGCATTTCGCAACAATTCCTTCCCATCTTCGTCCCTGTAAGAATCGCGTAGAAACGCCTCTGTGAACCTGAGATCCTGCACTATCTTGTCGCTGTCATATTTGAGGAGCATGTGATCGATGTTGCACTTTTCGACATTTGCCTCCAGCTCATAGATTTCCTTGCGTGTCGCCTCATGGAACTTCAGTAGCTCATCGAACGGGTTCATCTTCAGTGTGCGTAGGTAAGGTTGTTTGAAGTTGAGTAGACGGTGGTGGAATCTGAAGGTTCGTTTCGTGAAATGAAGGATGATGAGACGTTGGAGGACTCGCTGAGGTTCTGCTTTAATTGGAACGTGTATAGAGTAAAGTACCAGCCAGGTCAGTAATCGGAAGTTGCCAGGGTACAGGGCTATCAAGGACGATATACAAACCTCTCAGATTCGTCAGCGAAAGACGAAACGGATAAGAAAACAGAAACACAGGTGAGAAGATAGTAGGTGAGAAGAGAAAGGTGCGGGATGATGTCGGAAGGAAGAAGAGGGAGATGAGACGAGTGGAGGTGTCCTAGACCCATCCGAAGGAGGAATGGCTAGCACGTCTACCACCACTACCAAACGCATGACAGCAACCCAGCGTGTTATTCTGCTGGTACAAACTGCTTCGGCTATTAAACTTTGTTCCCATTTCATACTTGACAATCAGATTGACCATATTTAAACAACTTAGGGCTCGTATCCGCTTGGGAAGAAACAGCGTACTAAAGAAAATGAGAAGCTAGAGAACGCACTCTGAGAATTCAATATGTATGCAAAAGTGGTAACATAACAAGAGAAACATATCAGGCTAAAAAATAGAGATAAGAAATAGCTACAAAAATCTCCTCATCGACATATGACATCTCTAAACCGCGGGAAATTAGTTTAAGCATCAATCAAATTCTGTGGCGCCTGCGTGCCGTCCCTCGTGTCCTTGTTGGGCACTTTACGACCATGGCGGGTGTAGAACTCGTCCAGAACACGCTTGGGAATACGGTTGAGCAGCTCCTTGGGGTAGACACGGAGGAGGTTCCAAGCGATGTCGAGCGATTCGAAGATACTCCGGGATTCATATGCGGACTGGCTGATGAAGGTACGTTCGAACTTGTCGAGGAACTCGAGAGAGAGCTTGTCCTCGGAGGACAGAGCCTCCTCACCAACGACTGCCTTCATGGCGGCTGTCACGGTTGTCAGCAACGGTATTCTTTCGGTACGAAACATAGTAAGAAGAAGACTAACCGGCATCACGTCCAATAGCATACTTCGCGTACAGCTGGTTGGACACATCAGAGTGGTCCTTCCGAGTACGACCCTCACCAATGGCAGATTTCATCAGACGCGACAGAGACGGAAGGACGTTAATGGGAGGGCTGACACCCTTGTTGTAGAGCTGACGGTCAATGAAGATCTGACCCTCGGTAATATAACCAGTCAAGTCAGGAATAGGGTGGGTGATATCTGAGAAAGGTCAGCGAGGTATGCGACGGCATCGGAAAGGCAACCCACCATCGTTAGGCATAGTCAAGATAGGAATCTGGGTGATGGAGCCGTTACGGCCCTCAACACGTCCAGCACGTTCGTACATGGTGGCCAAGTCAGTATACATGTAACCGGGGTAACCACGACGACCAGGAACTTCTTCTCGTGCAGCGGAGACTTCACGGAGAGCATCACAGTAGGCGGAAAGGTCAGTCATGATAGTCAGGACGTGCTTCTCCAATTGGTAGGCGTAGTATTCGGCGGTGGTCAAGGCGAGACGAGGAGTGATGATACGTTCAATTCTGTACACCAAGTTAGCAAAGTCTCCATATCCATATCAGGTGTCGAAACGTACGTAGGGTCATTGGCCAAATTCAGGAACAGAGTGACACGCTCCATACTACCGTTCTCCTCGAAGTCCCGGGTGAAGAAACGGCTAGTTTCCATGTTAACACCCATAGCCGCGAAGACAATCGAGAAGTTCTCCTCGTGGCCATCGTGAACGCCCTTCGTCGGTTGGTTGACCAAGCTTGCCTGACGACAAATCTGTGCAGCAATTTCGTTGTGGGGAAGACCGGCAGCGGAGAAAATGGGGATCTTCTGTCCTCTGGCAATGGAGTTCATGGTGTCGATGGCGGAGATACCGGTGGATATCATTTCTTCGGGATAGACCTATTCAGGAAGACGGCCTATCAGCAACCAATTCAAAGCCTTCCGTAGCGAATCCATAATCGGTATACATACTCGCGAGTAAGGGTTGATAGGTTGACCGTTGATATCCAGATAATCCTCCGCCAACACCTTAGGACCCTTATCAATTGCACGACCCGAACCATCGAAAACACGACCCAGCATGTCTTCGGACACACCCAGCTTCAAGCTGTGCCCGGTGAACTCGACTTTGGTCTAATCCGCAGTAGTCAGCTACCATACATTCTCCTCAACCATCAACCCAAGAACCAAGCAGTGTTATACCTTCTTGACATCGACACCCGAGGTACCTTCGAACACCTATATGATCGCAAAGAAGCTCCGTTAAAATCGTGCATGAGGCATCAATCGGGTATCCATATCCGCACCTGAACGACCGCTCTGTTGCCTCTCGCTTCGAGGACTTGACCCGAGCGTTCTGTGCCATCGGCGAGCGTCAAGGAGACGATTTCATTGTACCGGGGGAATTTGACCTGTCGACGCCTTTGTTAGATATTATCATCAAATTGAATCGATTGATTATCGGACGGTCAATGCGCAGCTCGTAGAAACGTACGTTATCAAGGACGACCAGAGGTCCGTTGATACCTCCGATGGTGTTGTAGCGGATACGAGGCTTGATGGAGGTCATCCGGGGGTCGACGAATTCGGACGCCATTATTGCGGTTTTTCAAGGACTGCGGGGGTTATCGAGAGGGAGATATCAAGGGAAATAGTAAAACAAGCAAAAAGCGAGGCACAGAACCAGAGCTGCTCCTGGTCAAAGCAGAGGTCGGGCCAGGTCGTCGATTCGTATGGGACGGCGTCATCCCGCCCAGGCGGTGGCGCACGTGATACCCACCTGATATACAGATCCGGAAATGGAACAATTACAAAAGCATGCAGACAATATCAGGTTATTTGGTAGAAATTTATGCTAGGAAGTGTGTGGATTATTGCGAATACTATCTTGAGTAGATATATGCTGTACTCTGCAGCTGTCGTGTATATCCTTGGGGTATACAGTCTGATGCGCAGAGATAAATGGACTACACTGCTGAGAACGTTTTTTGCGGATTTGAGTTGAAAAGTGGCTACTGTTTTAGACAGAGGCATCTTGGTGCTTTATGCCGGCTAAAGCACGGACGAAGAAGGCTGCAGAAACGCTCAATGATGATGTCAAGAATGCGCCGCATTCTATATGACAAACAAGAAGAAGCCGAAATGGATATCATCAATCATGCTATGTGAAAAGTTCATCTCAGGTCATTCAAAACGAAAAATGAAGGCATTGTCCAAAGGGGATGCTGTAAAATGAAATAAATAAAAACTCCGTCCATCCATAAACCCATAAAAAGATAATAATACAGTGTAAAGAATCGAAGAAAGAAAAGTCGTAACTCGTGCACAGCCCCAGGAGTCCCAGAGCAAAAGACCTTTTGTCAATCAATCTTTGCCATGGCAAGATTCTTGGGCGTCGATAAGTTGTTGGAAAGACGGATGTTCGTTTTCTTGTTCTTGGTATGCTTCTTCAGTTTCCTGCGAGCGACCATTACCGGAACGGAAGACTTGGTCACAAGGTAGTTCGAGAACGATCCCAGAAGAACACTGCACAGTGTATACTGTTAGCAAGGCAGACATAAAATCAAAGGGTGTGATACTGACCCCTTGAGAGCGCTTCGTCCTCTGGCTCCGACAATCACGAGAGTCGGCGCGAGTCCATCGATCTAGAAACAGTGTTAACAACATGTCCAACACTCAATATGCGTAGCAACTTACAGCCTCAGTTATCATATGCTTAGGACTCTTGCAATGAATCACCTCCACCGCAATCCGCACCTGAAGCAGTGTCTTCCTCAGCAGCCGAACACAGGTCTGAGAAATGGTTTCGACAGCATGCATCCGATCCGATTCTGCTTTGGATATGCCCTTGGCATCGACAGAGTTCGATTTGCTATCAGAACCCGAGCCTAGACGATCCCGAATGGCACGAGGAAGATAAGTGGACGGATCATTCTGGGACTTCCGTGCTGTCTCTTCTGTTTGAGACCCCACCACCATCGCGGAATCTTGTATCGCTTTAGCGCCCTCGCCGATCTGAACAGACGGGCCGGTGCTGGCCTCTTCGTTAATAGCACAGACGGCAAACAAGGTATCCCCGTCCCGCAAGATGGTACCGATCGTCCACTCCAGCGCATACACGGATTCCTCGCTGAGGTCGGTGGTTACCATATACTTCCGCCGCCGGCGACGGCCTCCTTCAGTTTCCTCTAGTACATTGCCAAAGTCACCACGCACGATAGTCCTAATAGATCTGTTGCGGACGGAGTTGTTGATGGACGACATTTGGATGCTGAGTTTCTGGGCTCGTTTGATATCTGATAGTTCCGCTTCGTCTTCAGATCCAAACGGCGTGTTAATTGCGGAAGTCGCTTCGAAGCTCGTACGCGGGTGAACCTGGGGCTGCTGCGGCTTCGGTGGTTGCGGAGGATGCAGTGGCTGCGGGCCCAGCTTTGCGGAGTGAATCAAGGTGGGTTTCTGTTCCTCGTGGGGTGTAGAGTTGATATTGTCCTCCACCAGCTTACCTACGTCTTATTAGTATTGAGATCGACAGCTTGAGGTGGGAGGTACGGAACGGAAAGTAACTTACGCTCTTCTTCTGCTGCTGCAAGAAGACTCTGTGGCTCTTCCTTCGCATCACCTTGGCTGCCATCGTCGGACGGAGATATAATCTCGATAGACACCTTCCTCCCACGGCCTACGGATTCGTCATCGCTCGAGGAGTTGTCGTCAAAGTCTTCTTCGTCGCTTGTCTCTCCTATCGGATTGTTTTCGCTATCGTATACGTCCTTTTCCAAACGCTCATCATCCGCGGTCGAACCTTCATCGAGCGAACCCCGACGGGATCCGGGCTCTGGGAGTGCTGATGATAGACCTCCCGAAAATTTAGAGAGCGCCGCATCGGACAGATGCATGTCGATCGCTTTGGCGGCCGATTTAGTGGATTTGAGGGACGAGGTTGCCAGGCTGAAAGGGTTGGTTCGGAGCCATCGGTTCCTGGGGGAGATGGAGCGCGCAAACCGAGAGGGGAGCCGAGAATCCAGCGAAGACCCCCTCGATGCGCCGCTGCGGCGAGCGGAGTCTCGTCCCCTAGCGAAACTCGGCAATCCGAACTTCGAGTCCAATCCTGACATCATTGCAGCAACAGTGTTTTTGCCGACCGGCGACTTTTCCTGTGCCTGTGGTGTAGAGGTGGGGGAAATCGCAGAGTCACGGTCGGGGCTACTGAGCGACACGGAAGTATCGAGATGAAGCGCGGTGGTAGTAATTGTCGGTGTCTTCACCCCGGATTTCTCAATCTTGCCTACTGATTTTTTCCTCTCGTGGGACCGGTCCGTGCCGTCCGATGACTTACGAGGGGCAGCCTCGGAATCGCCAGATGGTTTTTCCTTTTCCTGATCCTGAGGAGAGGTAGGAGACGATGCAGAGGGTGGGGATGTCGCAGTAGAGCTCAGGCGCAATGGCGATGACAGGATCGGCTCATTCCAGGAGCGCCGATGAGCTGACGACGGCGGAGTCACACCCACTCCTATACCGGCAATGGACCCATGGCGAAGCGGTAGAGCCCCAGGACTAGGAGAGAACTCCAGCATACTATATCTTCCAGGGTTTCCCGAACTAATATTTATGGAGGGTGATGCTGATGCCCATGATTCGGAGACGTGACGCGTCTGACGGCCCTCCATAGTATCCACGAGCTCCCGTCGTTCCTGCTCTAGAGTCTCCTCCAGCGACATTCTAGTGCCGTGACGTCTCGAGTGGGAGTATGCCATTGCGGGTTATTCTCCCCCGCCTGTGGGAGAGTATAATAACAACGATGACACAGCTAGTGGACGTACTCTCTGGACAGGCGGTACTCTTATATTCCGTAGTGTATCCGTACTCCGTATGGGGCTCTTTGTTTTGCGGAGGAATGTGGGGAAGATGAGCGTAAAATCGGCGGTTAATTTCAGCCCCGTGTCCAAGAATTTAGACGAAGATCTCTGTCGGTTATCTAGAGAGTCAGCGATAATGGTTTTTGGATAGTGGGAGAGAGATAAAAGCAGCAGTTTGGGGATTGAGAGGGAAAGCAGGGGGAGTGAAGAGGGGGGATCCAAGAGCCACGGCGCTGACAATATAAACGCTGCGTCCACGTGCAATCAAGGCAGCAGCTGCAGAATGCTTACTAGAGAGATAAAGGAATGGATGTTTGTCTCTGTCTGCTGCGACGATAAAATAATGGTATGGGTGATTCAGTTGAAGTTGGCATATGCGCCTGCCGGGCTATGAAATGACGCTGAGAAGGCAAGCGTCACTCAGAGCAAAGACAAGGCAGGATCAACTGGGAAAGCATTCCTTAGTCAGGGAAGAATTTCTATATTGCCGGCCACAACGGATACAAATTATGGATTGATAGGAGTGGTATACTGCATAGAACATGATTGTATGCATTGTCTATCTTCACATGAAAATGAATAAATGTACCAAATGCCTAGAACGAACCCAGTCCTGTGAAAATGACCAATATTTACCATAATTCCTGTCCTTGCCGGTCCAGTCACCCAAAACTCCTGGCTTAATAGGATTCACAAGTAATAAAAACTGCTAGGAAACGCGAAAGGGAAGATCCCAAACAGCCGAGATCCATCACGCCCTAGACTTCTTCTTCTTACTGCCGCCGGACGACTTGCGCGCCCCCGTAGCAGCAAAAGCTTCCTCGGGAGGCTCATCCATCTGCGCAGCCCGTTTCTTCTGACCTTTAGGCGCATATTTCTCCTCCAACTTATCGAAGAACGACTCAGCGCGATTCGCTTGTCGCTGCTTGATCATAGCCACCAGCGCATTATCATCCAAAGCATTATCCTTTGCCTTCTTCTTCTTCGCACCTCCCCTCTTACCCTTAGTCTGTTTCTTCTCCTCGATCTCTCTGGCCGCTTCCTCCGCTTCCTCAGCCTCCCTTTGCGCCGCTTCTATCCTCTGCTGTCGCTTGCTCTCCGGTTCGTCCGAGTATTCCTTGTAATTCTTCACCTCGCCATCGGCAATGGCTTTGTCGATGATAGCCCGGAACCGCTCGTCGTCATCGAGGACATTGCATAGCATCACCGATTCGTAGACCTTGTCCATATCACCCTTACTCTTCTCGAACGCTGAGAGAAGATCGTGCTCTTCCTCCTCCGAGCTCTGATATTCCTTCTTCAACTGCTCTAGCGCGTTCACATCAACCGAGGCAGAGAACTGCTCGCGGTAAAAGTCCATCCAGTTAAAGTCTTCATCTTCGTTGACTGCTTCGGCCGTGCTACCGGTCAGGTCGAATCGCTTACGACGGCGTTCGTCGGAGAGGATGGCGTAGGCAAAGGCTATTTGCTGGAATTTATGGTTTGCTTCATCTTTGGAGTCGGCTGGAGCCTTGTCTGCGGGTTGTTAGTCTCTTTTTCCCATTGTCGCGTGTCAAGAAGAGCGGGTGAGGAAGTACCAGGATGGTGTTTCAGCGCTAGCTTTTTGTATGTGGATTTGATCGTCTCGGGTTTCGCATCTTGGCTGACACCAAGGATGTCGTAAAGATCTGTCTCGAGAGGGGGTTCGCGTGGGATTTCTGGTGAGTTGCGATCCGACATGGCGCAGTAGTCAACGATGGATGAGCGCAAAAAAGAAAAAAAAGTAAATGAAATGAAATCCAGTGAGAAAAAGGGGTAGCAGGAATTAGATATGCAAGTGTTTATAGGTCACAAAGAGATTGAGTAGAGATAAATAGGAAATGTTGGTTGTAGTGCTTTACGCGACCTGACGCGAGCCGTGGGAGGAAAAGGAACTCTGCCGTCATCGCCGATAATCAGTCCTCCGGGGTAGGATAACCCCACGCCCAGTTTCAGTGGTATTAAAGAAGGACCTCCCACAACAACTGCACTGATTCAATTTCTTCGCAGAATCCTTTCGAACTTGCTCTGTCAATTGGAAAATCGAGCAAGCCATCTACCTCGTTCCAAACCAATCCTACTGCATACTTGTACCATACGCAGCGCATCCACTACAGACTACAAACTACAACCTCTACACCATGACGACCTCCTCCCCTCACGTCCGCTACATATCCGAATGCCTCAAGCTCGCCGAAAAGTCCCCTCCACGACCAACCAACTTCCGCGTCGGCGCAATTCTCCTCTCCCGCAAAGCATCCTCCAACGATGACGCCACACAAGACGACCAAATCCTCTCCACCGGCTACACAATGGAACTAACCGGCAACACCCACGCCGAACAATGCTGCTTCTCCAATTACGCCGCCGTACACTCCGTCCCCGAAGACCGCGTCGCAGAGGTCCTCCCCTCCAACGACCCCGATCGCAAACTAGTCATGTACGTGACCATGGAGCCTTGCGGGAAGCGGCTATCGGGGAATGCGCCGTGCGTGCAGAGGATCATCAACACTCGTTCCGATGGTCGTGCAGGTATTCAGAAGGTGTATTTCGGTGTTAAGGAGCCTGGGACGTTTGTGGGGGGTTCGGAGGGGTGTAAGATGTTGGATGCGGCGGGGATTGAGTGGGAAGTTGTGCGCGGGTTGGAGAGGGAGATTTTGTCGGTTGCTACGGCTGGGCATGAGAATAGTGAGGAGGAGGTCAAGGCTGCGTTGGCGGATTACGGGACTAATGTTGATGATATTAGTCCTGAGGAGCGGCAGAGGCAGGAGCAGCAGCCGAGGAATCCGAAAAAAAGGATGATGGAGGGATTGATTTAGTTCGTATCATGGTATATGATCTGTCGATAGCTGAATGAGCTATTGATTAGCCCGTCAAGGTCGGAACTCGATTGCATTGTAGTTCAATGGTACTTTGAGAGTTGAAGAATGCAAAATAGCGGACAAGCAAAAATAGCACGTGATCTCCACGCAACGGCCAGAAAACCTCCCTCCTTCCTATCTCACTCCCATAACTCTCCAACAACCAGAAAGAAATAAACAGACAAAAGATGAGCACATGGAGACGGTCGACAATGATAGCCTGGCCTTTTACCCGACATTCTGCTTCAAGGCATCGCCAACCCATTTCGCCTGGGTAAAAATGGCGGCTGTAGATGTGCATCGGCTGAAGAGATGGCCGGGGTTTGAAGGTATGTATTCACTAGTGCATTGTATGCTTTGGTTTTGGCTAGACCGGGTATATTTGTGCAGTTTTGGCATTATTCTCTGGCCGTGGTGGCGTCGTAAAGAATTGATATATATTCTTGAAAGAAACTAACAACCACAGGTCAAAACATCTACTTCTATCTAAACCACCCAATCCGCTTCGTCTGTCTCGTGGGCCTCATCATCGCCAGAACAGACGTATACAAGCGCACCATCCTCACCCTCGACGACAGCAGCGGCGCAACCATCGAAATCGCCGTTCTAAAATCCGAGCAATCCATCCCCCAAGAGGGAACTGGTACTGAAGAAGGCCAGCAGCAACAACAACACCAAGGATCTAAAGCACAGAGGCAACCAATCATAGAGACGCACGTCACCACAACTGACAAGACGTACTTGGACATCTCATCTCTCGTCCCTGGAACGCTGGTGAAAGTTAAAGGCACACTGTCTACCTTCCGCTCCGCCATGCAACTTAATATTGAGCGCTTTTTCCCGGTTCCTGATACTAATGCTGAAATGCAGTTCCTGGATCAGCGCATTCGGTTTCTTGTTGAGGTTCTTTGGGTGCCGTGGGTGTTGACTGAGGAAGAGATTGCGCAGTTGCGGATGGAGGCTGAGGAGGAGCAAGAACGGCTCGAAGAAGAGCAGGATCGCATCCGGAGGAGGCATAGGAAGCGTGTCGAGCGGGAGGAGAAGGATCAGAGACGGATCCAGAAATTGTGGGAGCGGGAAGAGAAGCTAAGGGAAAAGGAGGCGGCTTCTTGTCAGGTTGCTGGGAAGAAGGTTATGCGGGAGTTGGAGAAAAGGAAACGGGTGAGGGAAGAATAGGGTCTTGATCTTGATATGTGCTATAAGAATTGATATATATATATTTTCAGCATGCGTTGACATCAATCATGAGGGCATGACACAGATCGTAAAGCTAGAAATCTGGACGCTAATAACTGCACAACCCCAAACCATTCGCAAAGACTGCAAAGAACAAACGCTTGGATATAAACCATGCATCATGGGACATAAATTTGGCTTCATGAAAGGCGTCAAACAAAAGCGAGCAATCATAACTTCTAATTCCCTTCTCCAGAATCAAGCAGGATCGTATTCATCGGTAACCATAGGCGTCATAACCGCCACTTCCACCAGGACCGGACAGAGCACGGTAGTAATCTTCCTGGCCTACCCAGTGCCCTCGCGGAGGAAAGTGGTCATGATATTTGGATTTTTCACGTTCTCTAATGGCGTCATATAGTCGCTTATCCTCGTTTTCGCGCTCAAGCTCCCGGTACCGTCGACTATCATCAAACGTATCACCTGAAACGGTCGTCGGGCTCAAATAATGGTCCCCAGCGTAGCGTGGATGGCCATGGTGAGTGAGGATATCTCCTTCGGAGTGTCTGTAATCGTGACCGGCTACGCTCCGCGAAGAGCTTCGAGACCGTCCAGGTCTGATGAGAGGATGGTGGGGCGTAGCACTTCCGGAGCGTGGGTAGACTGGGTCCTGGTGTTGCGGTTCAGGTGTCCGATGTCCAGGAACTGGAGGTATCGAGCTTTCTCTCGGTCTAGCGGTGCTTGACGAAAAGGACTTGCTATGACCATGCCCTGGTCTGAAGGGACCGTCATCGAACTTTTTACCACCGCCCGGTTGCGCGCTATACGGTTTTCGTTTGCGTTCAATAGGGCCTGACACTGTTTCCTTATCTTCTTCATCTTCCTCCTCTTCGTCTTCTACTGCTGGACTGACGTAGGCCTTGTGAGGACGATGCGCAGCGGTGATCTCCTCATCCGTTATGGGTGGTAGTTTCACGACACAGTGCTCCATAATGTATTGATCGAGTTGTTTTCTCAACTCAATATCCGGTGTTTCTGGAAACAGCCGTCGGGGAATCTCCTTAGGAAATCTCTCTTTCTTATCATCCGGATTGCTGATGGGCATGTTCAACACGGCCTTCTGCAATCGATCAAATTCCCTGTCTGGATGAGCTTGGATCATCAATGAAGCCCATCGCTCGAAGCCTCGGGGCGTCAAGCCTGGAACGTCCGGTCTTTCGTTCAACTTAATCTGTATAAGGTGGTGTTCTGCTTCTACTTCTCGGAGTAGTCTAGAAATCGAGGATGTGCGGTCGTGGAAAATATCTGCATTGAAAGCACCAGTTAGACATGGTCTAACAAGTAGGGTGATTGTGAACTGACCTTGCCATGGATAAGGATCAGAGGCGACTGCCGTATCCTCGTAGAACTTCTGCATCTTCTCGGGAGTAACAACGATGGTATTCCCTGGCGGATAATCCTCAATCTACCCAGAGTCAGCATTAGGCTTCTCCCAAAGATTTTACGAAATCACTTACCAAATGCATTGCAATCCCCCGCAAGAACTGCGAAAGTCTCTTTGTTGGCTTTCCATCCACAAAAAGCTTCCCCCAGATTTTCTCAAGCGTCGTCATTTCCCCATCAGCATCAGTGCTCTCTCTGGACAGAGGACTCGAACGAGATTCAACCCTATTGTTATATTCGCTGACTTGGCTCGCCCGCGAGCCAGACCTGCTCATGGGCTGAGAGATGTGGGACGATCTCGAAGGCGGGCGGGGGCTGTTTTGGTATACGCTTGGAGGCGGTGGATGATATGGCTGATAGCTCGAGTTGTCTTCGCGTCCAGCACGAGGCGACATGGGGGAGTGATGCTGTTGTTGCTGTTGTTGCTGTTGTTGCTGTTGAGCCGGGATATTCTCGAGACCGGTCGTTTTAAGCTGCTGGATCACATTGGCCGTTATCTGGGTGAGGACTTCGGGGGATAAGTAAGGCGGCTGATCTGCGTTGCTGAACGCCGAGTTGACGGCTTCGTTAATGCGGCCCGTCTGCTGGGGCTGCGGGTACCACTGGTTATTATCATGATTATTTGGATATTGACCGGGGGATGACGATGTGGGAGGCATTATCTTGGATTGCGGTGGTTGATGCCATACGGTGGGCTTACTGTGATATAAACCGGAGCGGAAAAAGTGCCTCGGGAGGGACAAGGCTGGTATCGTATTGTAAGTTATGACGCATTTGGAGATTAGCGGAAATTAACTCCCTTCAGCCATTGCGATATATCATTGGTCAGTGTGTCTCTACAATGTATACCAGGATAGCCCTGCTTACTCCGAAGTACAAGGCATCACCGACTCACTAACTACCCTGACTCAAGTATATCAAACCAGAGTCAGACACAGAATGAACTATTCATTAAACCAATCAACTGAAGTTCACCATGCAAGGCTCATCCTCTGCCGGCATTGAAGCTCTTGCCAATCGCGAGGTTCTACAGTCGTTATACCCCGATATTAACCTCCTACTCCGGAAATACTTACCTTGAGCAGTACGAGGGCTTTTTAATCTGTCTTGATGGGACACGCATGCGTATCGGCAAGGCGATAGTCTCTCGGACCTATCTGGAGCGTATCCGCAGACATGGGAGTGCTGGCAAGGACCTGCTCTTCCTTAGATCTGTAGAATTTGATCTTGTCGGTCCTGATGTCCAAAGAGGCATCGCAAGGCTCATGTTTGCTCTTTATAGGCATATCGCTGATAGTAAGCAGGGCAAGATTGTAGGAAAGGTATCAGGGGGTCAAGATAAGCAATCTTCCAGTCAGCAAATGGATAGCTAGCTTCATTCATGTCCATGTATGGTGTACCGTTGTGATTGCCTCCAGAGAAGTTTGTTGTCTATCGTAGAGGTATCAGTGCAACCGTCCCCTGCTGCCAGTGAGCTTCCATTCACTCACTGAAAGAATTTAAATTTATAAGATGCCACTCTTTCTTCACCCTACTCTTCCTTTCACTTCATCCCTCCTATTTACCGTCATTCTGGTTCATTATTCATTCATGCTGGCGATGGATAATCCTCTTATTCTAAGATACACCTGATATCTTACACAAAGACAGTCCAGGAGACACGGGCGCCCGGATGACCTGCCATGATAAACCAGATCACGCAACTTATGCTTGGAGAGAAATTCTCCGAATCATTCACATAGATTGCTGCTCATCAGAAGGATCATTCTCGTGGAAAAACTTATCAGATCTCAAAATCCACGGTAAGTTCATAGGAATGAGCCTGTCAAGTTCTTCAATAAGGGGCAGCAACCAGAGTTCACCTTGTTCTCCTGTGTCCTGCCATTGATCATCAATGGAATGACTGAAAAGCCCCGTTCATTAATATGGTTCCAGGTGTCCATCACCGATAATGATATCGTCTTGGCCAAGCAAGGCGAGTATACAGAGTCTCTCCAAGATCGCGTATGATTTCTTTTGCGGTCAGTCATATCCAGAATGCAAGGGCTTCTGTACAATATCTCTAACTTATCCAGGCTAAACAACGGTACGGGATACAGTGATGAGAAGCCGGGGTCTGAAGCGCTTAACGAGCATTTATTGGGCCAGGAAGTTGCGGAATTACTCGGCCAAGCCATGACGGCTTTCAAACACACAATCCTAAACACTGTCGAGATCCTGATGCCTGGTGTATCATCATCCACATCTGATGCGCTTAGTTACCGTACACTTTGCTGTAAAACTACGTCGGCGGCGTGAACAGCACGCATATACCCTTATCCGAGCGTCTGTTCGTATACCCAAAGCCCTATAATTTGAAATATGACGAGGAGAGTTCGTGACGCTGCTGACACCTTGATCATAATGAGGATGTCCTACGAGTTATCCACATAGATAACCTACCATTAGAAAGGTTTTCCCACTTTGGAAACCATATCAGGTTTCAGAAACCGCAATAAGTGACTTGTCGAGATGGGCATAATCCACTCGATCAATTGGAACACAGCGGTATCACTGCATACAATAATTAGTGGTGTGGATATATCCATAACCCAAACAGACCTGCGGAGACTGCATCTTTAGCAGAGATAGAGCCCGGTGCATTGCTCGTGCATGAGTCTTGTTGCGAGACGAATTTTACTGAAGCTCAACTGGATCGCGCACGCGACTCCAATGTGCTCTTCACATGAGACATCAAAACTCTTACAAGGAAATCACTTCTTTTCCTTCTTTGAGGGATTGTCTGGTGCCCTAGCAGTAATATCTGTATGACGAATTACCGGGTAGAAACACCTTTCGGCCGATTTCAAGCTCGGGCGATGAAGACAAGAACGTGCTTGTCCGTCCGTCCACCGATTGAGCCACGTGGGAAGAGAGTGACACCCACACACACACGGCCAGTTTGAAAGGCCTTGTCGATATTAGATAACATGGGTCGTCCCTGTTGTTTCAACAACTCGCCCATCATGGGCAAAATGCGGCTCTTTTCTGGAAGTCATTTCGGGGCTACCGTCAGTCCGATCAATTAGAATTGCTGTTTTAACACGACAGTCCTTCCAAGCTTCTCCTTTGGTCTATATTAATTTTCTCAGAAAACGTCAGTCTCATGGTGCTCAAAAGAGATGGTTCGTGATTCTAAATTGAACATCGCTAACGATGGTGCCCACCATACTGATCAATACATCTACAAGACGCCAATTATCTCTTTTGAGGTTTGTCATCAAGATCCAACGCTCGCGTATTCTCATCTCTAATAATCCCCTAGGCAAAAAGACGCCACTCCACGCCGGAGGCGTGAGATGTGGACTCGGCGAACACGAGTGCTTCAACGGACCAATTACTTGCCAGAGATAACTGAACCACCCGTTCGGACTATACTGGCTTACAACATTGAGAAATCAAAGCGATGAAGGAGCCAAAACCATGGTGTATCACACCATACACGGCTTACAGTTGCATCTCGTCACTGCCCTTTTTAGCGGAAACCATCGCCAAGAAGGAATTTTTTTTTAAAAAAAAAAAAAAAAAAAAAAAAAAAAAAAAAAATACGCAGACTTCCACACAACATTCTGTGTATCCGACGGAAGATGGAATTTGGTCATTGACACAAGTAATGGGATTCGCTAAAGGATACTCTAAGCCACATGGGACGTCCGTACAGGAGAGTCATTCCGGTAATTTGCTCAAAAACTTGCCGAGAATCTTGAACAAGACGCTATATCTTCCGGGGACAAACCAAACCCCGAGCACTGTATTGGTTTCCAGCTCTAGAGACGAAGACAAGAATGGGTCCTTTCTTGCTTCCTCTGGTCGAGCACGCCTATCTCCCAATAATGCGCCAGAATACCGAAGTATTCGAACTGAACACTGGGATCAATATCCTGAGCCCGTTTCAAGCTAACTATACTAATGAGTTCCGTTTAATATATTAAATCGTCTATATACAGAGGATCTGCCTTCGTGCATAACACAATGACCCTGCCTGATGTTGCTACAGTGTGCGCCGGCAAAATGGGCACATTCTATTTCCACTCTGCCGGTATTGCTTGACTGGCTGACGACAGAAGTTGGATATGCAAATGAAAGACCCCCTCACCGATGGTGGTTTCGTCCTGTCAAAGCAGAAGACCCCCACGAGATAGTCTCTCTGGAGGTCAGTCATATCCAGAATTCAACAGCTACCTACTCCCAATAAAGGCCCATGATACTTCCCTAATCAAGAAAGGCCACTTTAAATTTCAAAAGCCAAGAACTGGCACCGACGAATTGTTCAAGACTTGCTCAGACAAGAGGTAGCAGAACTATTTGGCCAGGCCATGCCGGCTTGCAACGACGTAAAAAGACAGAAAAGCCCCGAGAAAATGGACGGGCACTAGCCGTAACCCCGCCATTAGTCTCTCTGGGGAGGACTCAGACGGCCGATATGATCCCCAAAGAAACATCGATGACAAGCCATTGCATTAGCAGACCAATCAAGCTGATGGGTAGAAACGCGATAGATAACATTCGGACCGTGGAATGTTCCTCACGAGTTTCGGTTTGCTAACGGGGACGAGATAGTTTATTTCACCCTGATATATCCTCAGTTTGTACCAACACATATCGATGGACAGTACTCATCAAATGGTCACAGCTGCAAAACGAGTACGAAAGAGCTTCTCGCAAGACTTGAATGATACGCCTAACCCATGCCACTGCATAACACATGGTGCGTACGCTGTCCATGGCCAAAATGAAAAAGCCCGATAACCTACCATGTTGACTTGAAGTTGGACTAGGTGGTTAACTGGTTATGGTAAGCTTTCACGGACCATAGGCGAGTTGGTACAAATACTTGGCAGAGTTGCCACAGAATGACCTGGATTCAGGTTATCCCGACACGTACACTTGAAAGACGAATCATCAAAATTAGTGGATAGAGGAGACTCAAGGCCTTCCATAATACAGAAACGGGAACTCAAAATATATAAATAGGCCAACGATCAGTATTACTTAATTGCTTTACGAACCTCGTAAGTCTGGTTCAGTTAAAATAAACTCTGCTGTTGTATCCGCGGCTCAGTCTACCGTGGAAGGATTGATACTGGGTTGCGATAATAACCATGGTTTTGATATCTGGACTGCTGGGCCTTTAGCTAAGATTAAGGGGAACGGAAACTAATGAAAGCTGAACTGAGAAAAATTGCAATAACAACGAATAATAAGATATGCAAGCAGGAATAGCATATGAAAAAAAGAAGGTAGATACCGTGCATCCCCGAATTCTGTTTTACAGAATCAACAAGACCGGAGGCTGCGGCGATATCAAACCTACTAAAAGTGAGAAGATGGCAAGCAGACAGCGGGACCAGAAAGAACAATATTCCTCCAAGTAACCACTATGATCCACAGCAAATCTTCCCTAGCGATGGCAGTCTTGCGAACGGGCATTGGTTGTAGAGCAGAGTACTCTACAGGAACTCCTCGATACCGTTGTCACTATCATCATCATCCGAATGGTGAGCTTCAGCTGTGGACTCGGGGACACGCATGGAGGGGGCTTCGTTGGCTGGCACGCGGCGGCCCTAGCAGCAGTGAGCACAAGTATTCAGCGCTAAATATATATTGGATCACTCACCGGCACTTTGGCAAAGTTGGAAGCCTTCTTCTTCGGAAGCGGGAGACGAGGCAGGGTATTGCCGGTCCTGACGTTGGGAACCTGGGCCGCGGCACTCTGATACTTCAGTGCATAGACTTGACCGTTGCCATTGCCGCGGAAGGAGTCATATCCACCGGACTGGGAATCGGTGACACGGCGATGAGCAGTACTACTAGCGTCGAAACTGGTGTACATGCGGCTCTTGCCCTTGCTGAGACTGTTCTCGTCGTTTCCGGACTCCGATTCCACCCAGACGCCGCCACCGATGGAGAGGTCATCGTCTTCTTCTTCGAGGACCGAGAAGCCGCTGCGGGCGTAGGGGCTGTTGAGGTTCAGGCGGTTGGTGGTCGCGGCGAGGGATTCGTCGTCGAACTGGGACTGTACGGAGTTTTCAGCTGCATTCAAGCATTGTTGTGTTTATGCTTACCCTAGTCAAGGCAGTGTCCTGCGTGGTCAACTCGCTTTCCGGGATAAGCTTCTGTTCGTCCACGAGCTCCGTGTCAGTGATGAACTGAACGCAGTTCAAGCATCTCTGTTGTCGTTAGTCCGTCATTTCCAATCCTCACAATATCTATAGAGAAGTAGAAGCATACCGCGGTATCATGGAGCTGACGCTGAGCCTTCGCAAAGTCTTCCAGACCCTTGATCTTATCACAAATGCAGCACTTGAGCTCAACCGTCTGGCCCCCAACGCAGGTGCGACATTTGGCGATACCAGTACCATTGACCGCACGAGCACCCTGGGTGATAATGCCGTGACGCAAATACTCGAGCTGGCGCTTGGAGAACATGCTCTGCATGCGGACCTTCTTGCAGTTGACGCATTTGACCCTGTTGGAGAAGGTAGGTGAGTGTCATCGTCGATTTGATGGGTTTTGGTGGAGGTAAGGCTGGCTCACTTGTCTGGGATGGTGACCTGCTCGAGTCTGACGGTTTGTTAGTTGGAATCGATAAGAAGGACAAATCGAGGGGCAATGCTTAATTTCTCTTGGTGTTCTCGTTCCAGCCACCGACGTAGGCGCTTTTCACTGGGGGTGGCATCTTGGCCGTAAGAGAGAAAGAGAGCTTAGATAGTGAGAGGTTGTCGAATTCAGGACCTGGAGGACGTCATAAAGTTGAGTTGTTGATGAAGATGAGGATGAAATGGGGATGGGGAGAGAGGGAAAGAGGAAGAGTAGAGTAGAGAAGAAATGAAGGAGGGTGAAGTATCTCATAGAAGATTCTCCAGTCTCATCACCAAGCAAACAAGCAGTAACTGCATGAAAGAAACAACAATTGAGCAACCAGGGAACCCTGCAACTGCTAATGAATTATTTTCTTCATGGACAATATTCATTGACAGCCAGTGAATATTTGAAATACATTTTGTGAAGACTTTCTTAGCAGCATTTCACTGGCTGTCAGCCCAATCTGGGGAATAGACTGTGGACATCGTCTTATTTGTTTGCCTTATTGGCATGGCTAGTTGCAGCGTAATTTTATTCCCAGCGTCTGTCAGCTTGTCAGTTCTTTGCTGCATAGATAGTTTAAGTGCTTGACATATAACTTGGCAAGATATAGACGAAGAACCTAATTTACTGAGGGTCATCGATACAAACGGTCTGATAGCACGTGTGAGCAGGACATGACAGCAGATAGTCAAGAAAATAGAATATCAAAAAATCAAAAATCAAAGGCAAACGGAGGAATGAAGTAACTACAGAGCTTGAACAAAGATGATAGCTTCAACAAGCACAAATCATTACTTCGAATCTATCACCCCTCTACAGAGTACGGAGTAGTTATGAACGTACTCTGTACAAATGCACCCAAGCCAAGCCAAGCTGAAATATAATAAGCAAACAAAGCCACGGCCGCATATGATCTGTCCTGTATCACCTGTATAAGCCATGCATAAACCCTCTCCCTAATCCTCGCCTATGTAACATTCCATATGCATGCACTGCATCTGTATGATATACTTGGATCGACCTGCAAGATTCGTTTGTCCTGCATCATCTATTGGTGATCTCTCAACTATGTAATCCGAATCCTCACAGGGAGACGAGGAGCCGGGGCCAATACCCCCCCTGACAAGAAGCTACTCCTGGCGTTATTTTTCCAGAAACATCGACGTACAGATGCGAAGATGATCAAGTGGACATTAAGGAGCAAGAGGACGGGAGTATGGAGTCTATGGAGACCTCGGAATACACTCTGGTAAGAGGGATGGGAGATTCATGCTACTGCAGAGCACCGAGTAAGTGGTGAGGGAAATTCTTCGAGAGTCCTTCCAAATCCTTCTGGAAGTCCCAAATGAAGGACTCCTGATACGCGTGGGTGGAGGAAGTGGGCGGGAGACTCCATCCACGCGATACCGGGAGTGTCCCAGAGTGCATTAGTACGAGCACAGATGTTAATTGAGGAGTACGGAGTAAAGTACATCAAGAGAAGGAATCCTATGGTTATCCCGTACATAGTGCTCGGCACTGCAGTTGATACATTGAATTTCTAGCAGACGAGTACTCCGCAGAAAAAAAACCGTCGACTCGTATTCCTGATAGCATCACACCGATCCTACTATCACACCGCTAACACAACTATTCGCTCTTTGTCCTTTTGTCCTCCTTCCCCGTATACGCCATCGATTTATCGGTCGAGATATCCATCCTTCCGATACTGGGGTACAGACACACAGCATCCGATAACCCATCCCGCGCTCCTCTTGTGGATCCCTTGTATCCACTAACGGGTCTAGCGCAGACTACTCTCACCATTCATCTTCCCCGAAAAGGCGCTACCGGCCACTAAAACGACTAGTGTCTCCATTGGCCCCTCGGGTAAGCCTGGGACGGGCCTAGACAGAGTGGGGGTTCCGCATTCCCCGAGTCCCAAAGCCAGTCAGCGTTGCCACTGCCCCGCTGTATCCATTAGGATCCACTGAGCTGACCAGTCACCGCTTCCCAGAGGGTCGGATGACCGACGACGATCAACTACAGGTAATGGTTTCCGCGGTTTTTGTTTTTATTTTTTTTTTTAATTTTTAATTTTTAATTTTTTTTTATACCACTACCAAGTTCGGGTCAGGAACGGTTGGTGATGGACAACAACCGCGGAACCAACTTTGGGTGTGTTTATCGTCTGGGTGATGATCAAAGAAAAAAACCTTGACAAGGGCAAGAGACACGCATCCGTACAGAATTAAGATGTGATGCAGAGTACGATCATTAATGCAAGTATTGATGTCTTGTCTAGTTCGGCCCCCTCCGCTATCCGTGCCGTAATCCGCGGTCTGCCGTACCCAAGGGACAAAAGCTGGTCCGTCGTTTGTTTGACAGTTATGTTGAGCAGCATTTGATTATCTCTGGCCCATGTGTCCATGTGTTCGCCGCGGTCGGAGTGGATTGCATTATGAATATCCTGTGGCGTGGGAGAGAAGTGTGAGCCGAGGTACTTTTACTCTGTAAACGGTGACGTGAAAACGGTGGACCGGTTATATCATTGAACATCAGTTGGAGTCATCGTACTTGTACTACTCATACAGATGAACACCGCTTGTTGTCTCTACAGAATTGTCTCTGCTGGAGTACGGAGTACAGAAAGCTGAGATACACCGCTATATACGGAATAGAGGGGTGGTGGGGTGAACGAGGTTAGACCGGATACACGGATCGAGACCGTACTTCGTAGATATGACCGGAAACATAACAATCGTTTGATAGCATCAAACCCTAACTAATTTTTCCCTTCAACCTTCAGGTGCTCTCTACTCCGAAATAAAGTAGGATTGAAGTCCTCTAGAAAAGTTCTTGAAACCGCGCGGTCAGACCTGCTCATTATATACCGCGTGTAATAATCACGCATGCCACTTAGTAACCATTTCCGACCAGTGGGATGACGATGACTAACATGTCTATGCACCGTAGATTAGTTAACTAGTTGGTTATTGCTTGAACGATCATGAAGCAAGATTGTCACCCTTGCCCATTGCAGGTTTCACAAGCAGATGATAGTTTATCTCTCATGACTGCCATGCTGGCAGACATTTTCCACATGTTCAGCTGCCGTTGGTTGAGATCTACTGGAGTACATGAACCAGTCGAGTCTAACTAACTGCATGAACTGTCAAGCGCTTTTTTAGTATGGGTGTGCTTGTATTGGTATTGTAAAGTGCGCGTACGTGTCACATAATTTACGCCCGAGACCCTGACAGAAGGGGGGGGGGGAGAATCGAAATCACACAAAACACACGCACACAGAATGGCAAAAACAGACGCGGCCCAACCTCCCTTTCGCCCCTGGCCATAAATCATTAGGGCCCGTCTAACGATCACTAGGGGCGGAGTCCAAGTGGGGCTTCATTAAGGCTGGAACTCTTGGAGTGCGTGTGCGTTGGTTCCTGGTTTTGGTGGCATCAGTTATTACCACGCCGTACAAGTATATATACATACTCTGTACACTGCACACTGACAGACTATCACTTGCAGGTGTCGTTTCCCTACCAATAAATAATTGCTTCTGGCTGGTTATTTTCCCCCGTACTATGTACATAGCACACAGTCCAGAGTGTCTGTCCTCAAGTGAAGAAGCGGTAGTTGTGCATAATGATTAGCTGCAGGGGGCTCCACCGAGTTATGGTGGATGCTGTTTTGAGTTAGCCCAATACCAATAGGTCAGCTGATAGCCAATGACAGCGCGTCAGAATGTGTTATGCAATACTCCGGAGTACTACCAGACCTCATACTGGTGATTAGGATCTGACAAGTATCAAACAATGAATACTACGAGAGAATTAATGGGAGATGAAACTGATTATTATATGATAGCGAATAACAGCCGACATTATTTATGTTATTTACCTGACATGATCCGGTGTTTACCATAGCGGTTACTAATTCCGGGAAACCCGTCCAATAAATAGCTCTGTGGGGGTCCACTGATACCGTTCGGATACGATACAGTACAGACCCGTGGGTACCATACCTGATTGGGACGAGCCCATCTCCCACATCCTCTTCATCCTCCCTATTCTGGTCTTTCTCTCTGTAAACACCAGCATCACTTTGACTACTGCTGCTGCCAACTACCGTACATTCTTTTTTTCTTCTTTTTATTTATTCTTTTCTCCTAACTCGTCCAGTCATTCTTTTTTATTTTTACTTTGAAATTTTTTTTTTGTATATTTTCTTTTTTCCCTTCCTGTGATCACCTCCTATCCGGTCTACACTTTCTCCGTACTATCAACTACCACTAACAACAAACCCCTCAAAACGGTCTGCTTTCTTTTTTAATTTAGTCGTGCTTTTGATTCGTCCTTTTTTGATTATCGTCTCCTGTGATCTGCATTGGGGAAAAAAAAAAAAAAAAAAAAAAAAAAAAACTCCAACTGGTGCAGTTCCGACAGTCGACCGCTTGTTCCTAAAGAGTCTCCACGGCCCGGTCCATCTGAGGTCTCTATATACAGAGTACACAGTGAGAGAGAGCTGTCACCGCGTCAGGGGCTTGTTCGCATCCACCAAATTCCCAACCTCATCTTTCACTCTTTTTTTTATTTTCCCTCTTTTAGTCTTGCAAGACTACTCCGTTAGTTTAACTCGTCAATTCCCACCGACCCGGATCCGCCCCTAATCATTATCCGTCCGTCTTATTCCTCCATCGCTCGCTCCAGTGATCACGTCCGAATCGCTGGGTCTTCCATCTGGCTTCCAGATCTACTCTTTCCCTCGTCTTTTTTTTTATTGCTCTCCCCATTTTCCCTTTTTCTTTTCTTTTCTTTTCTTTTTCTTCCCTTTTTCCTTTTTCCTCCACTCCTCGCCGCGTCTCAGGGAAACTACTTGTACATTCCCCTCCCTCTTCTCCATTTCATCCCTCTTCCATACTCCTCCTCTCCTCCCTCCCTCCCACCTTCATTATCGTCAATCCCTCCTGTCAATGGGATAGACCTCATCCGGATTCTTTATACTGTTTTTGCGGCAAAAGGATGAGCATCTGCTTCAATTGAATCTCTTCCTTTATTCCTAGGGAGCTCGACCTTATATAATACTACTAATATACTATACCTTACGTCGTTGCAAAGGGGTAAGTATCCACTATGATGCTGTCTAGATACCGGAGTTCCTCGCTAACTGCTTCTTCCGCCTCATAGTCATCGAGCCTTATCGTTCTCTGCTGGCAGAAACTCGCATAATCCACAATACCACCCACCATGACCGTCACATACGATCTTCCGCGGAGTACCGCTCCTACATCAATGGCGACTCTTGAAGACAGATTCGAGGTCATGAAGGAAATTGGGGATGGCAGCTTTGGTAGCGTGGCCGTGGCACGGGTCCGGACAGCGGGATCCAACATTGCCCGGAGAGGGACAATGGTAGGCTGGAACCTTGGAACTGTTAGTTGTGGTTCATGTGGACTGACTCTTGGCATGAACAGGTCGCGATCAAGACAATGAAGAAAACTTTCGATTCATTGACCCCGTGTTTAGAATTAAGAGAAGTCATCTTCCTCCGCACATTGCCCATCCACCCTCATCTCGTCCCCGCCCTGGACATCTTCCTCGACCCCCTTTCCCGAAAGCTCCACATCTGCATGGAATACATGGACGGCAACCTCTACCAGTTGATGAAGGCACGAGACCACAAGTCTTTCGACCCCAAGCACGTCAAGAGCATCCTCTACCAGATTATGTGTGGTCTGGACCACATTCATGCCCATCACTTCTTCCACCGCGATATCAAGCCAGAGAACATCTTGGTATCCACATCCGCCCCCAATGACTCTGCCTTCAGTCGCTACTCCAACCTCGTTACCCCTCCCTCCACCCCTCCCACCTACACCGTTAAGATCGCCGACTTTGGTCTTGCACGCGAAACCCACTCTAAAATGCCCTACACAACCTACGTCTCGACCCGCTGGTATCGCGCCCCTGAAGTCCTTTTGCGGGCCGGAGAGTACTCCGCCCCAGTCGACATGTGGGCAATTGGTGCTATGGCCGTCGAGATCGCGACGCTCAAGCCTCTGTTCCCCGGGGGCAACGAAGTGGATCAGGTATGGAGAGTCTGTGAGATCATGGGTAGCCCCGGAAACTGGTACAGCAAGTCGGGTTCGAAGCTCGGTGGGGGTGAATGGAGAGACGGGGCCCGTTTGGCCCAGAAGCTGGGGTTCACTTTCCCCAAGGTAAGAATCATCATCGGTACTATTGTTGCAGTGCGTTAACGCTATTCTAGATGGCACCTCACTCCATGGAGAGCATTCTGCAGCCGCCTCAATGGCCTGCCTCTCTTAGTCACTTCGTTACTTGGTGTCTCATGTGGGACCCCAAGCAGCGACCGACATCTACCCAAGCCTTGAACCACGAGTACTTCGCAGACGCCGTGGACCCATTGCGCCCCAAGTCTTCGACTGCCCGGCTGCTTGGCCGGAAGCAATCGGACAAGAGCTTTAAATCCGCCACTAAGGAGACGAATGACTCCCCAACTCTCTCCACGAAGCCGTCTTGGTTCCGACGGTCGTTCATTGGAAAGACTGAGAACCAGGTACCTACTGTGGAGAATGAACAATCAGCCCGGGCAGCCCCGCCCCCGTACAACGCGACCGTTGACGCGCAGGCTGCCAACAAGGCCAAACAGGGTACCACAAAGCGTGCTACCTGGGCGAACGGTGCGCCCATGCCCATTCTGCCTTCCATCCGTCCTGTGTCACCCTTGTCTAACGCCGTGACAGCACAAGCCAACTCGACTTTCACCCACGACAACAGTAGCAACGCTACAAGTGTCACCTTTGCGGATAACAAGGCGAGCAAGAAGATTGGCAGACAACTATCGTTAAACTCGCACGGAAACCACTATGCCGACGCTCACCGGCAAGAGGCCGAGAAGGCACTCAATGGGAGTAACGGCGGCATGGCGATCACACCAAAGGAGAGTTTCTTCTCGCATCTGCGCAAGCGCGCAAGGAGACTGTCTGGTCGCAACCAAGCGCATACTGCAAGCGATGATGTTGAGGCCAATGCGGGTTGCATGCCATGGTCGAATCGGTCGTCCTTGGCGCTGGACTCCAACAACGAAGCGAAGCAAGGCTCTGATCTCTCGGAATTGGACAAGGCTCTTCAGAACGTTAAATATTCGCTCGACACATCGTCAAAGGGCAATGTTCCCGTTCAGATCACCTCCCCCGTCGAGAGCACCAAGCGCCAATCGATGCCCCAAGGCTCCATTCGTTCCTCGATAAATGAGAGTCCTAGCTCTACCAGTGGCTCTGCTGGGCCGATCTCCAGCCGGACCAGACGTGCCATGCAAATGTCTACTCACCCGGTGCACCGGTATGAGACACCCGAAGAGGAAGACGAGCTTTTGGACGAAGTGCTCCATTCGGCTACCAAAGCTGCCAAGCGATTGGCGCAGAACAATACGTCTGATCCCAACTACAGCCATCGGCCAATGGTCAAGGATAACTCGCAGGCCTTGCCCAGTCCCTATCCGACTCCTTCCCCTTCCGCCAACGGCGCCTCGTTCGGCCAGGATACCCCGTGCCGGAAAAATTTGAAGGCTGACAACCGTCAATGGCCTACTCCACCTTACGAGGAGGGTGAATGGACAAGCCCAACTTCTGCTACTTTCCTTGCCAGTTCCACCTACAGGTAAACCACCTGTACGATGCAACTCGATCTATTGAGATCTTAAAAAAAAAAAAAAACGATCCGAAAAGCACAAAAACAAAAAAGACTTTGCGCATCGCAAAGTCCGGAATATTACCGAGGACGGCGTACGGGATCTGGTGACATTTTCTCTTATTTCTGGCATTTATTTCAAGGAGAGATTTGGCTTTTTATTTCCCCTGTGTTTCTGGGACGGTGACAGTTTTTTTTTTTTTTTTTTTTTTTTATTTGTGATACTCTATTTTCATCTTCATACCCCACAGGCCTATCATAGACAAATGATGGCCTCGTTATCTGTTTATTCTTCAGCATATATTCAGTGTCTGTTTCTTCCGTTCCTTTGCACATTATTGCTATGTGATTCTTTGCATTGCTGATCTACTTTGATACCATTTGCGCGTTTTGCGGGACTTACTGCTGTCGTTCCTTTTGCTTTTCTATATATATTGCATCTCTCTCCATCTTTTTAGACTTACATACCTAACTTTTACCTGACCTTTTTTCTGATCCTTGACTCGTCTCTCCTTGTGTCTCACCTTCTTTTATGTACACTTTTCCTTCTCGCTCTCCTTTCATCTGGTTTATTCATTTTGTTTCCGACCTGTCTGTTGCACTCTGGGGGAATACTTGTTTGGGCGGATCTTTCCTTTCCACTTGTACATTTTTTGCTTGTGATTTTGACTGGGACGGACCAGTGGTGATCTGGTCCTGGGTTTTATATGCCCTTGTAATATAGCATTCTTATGGCAAAAGCCAGTGTTTATATCTATCCATATGGAGTACATAGTATCGCATATTGCAGCATTGCTACTAGTAAAATATAATGTTTACTGCATCAACCTTTTGCTTCTTTAACTGACTCGGTAGACTTGTAAGCTGCGAACAGGTTGCACAACTTGGAATCGGTACGATAAGTTTACTGGCTGGTTCTCTGGTAGTCTCTAGATATAATATGACCTTGATATGAAACGATGTTCTGCTGGAGGTATCCTACCATAAGGCATTCATGACGCTCTGCTCGCCCTAACACGAATATCGATAGCGGGCGGAACAACTATTTCCCGAGCACAGAATTTCCCCATCCAGTACGTCAGGTCTCTGAGCTTTCAATTGAATTTGCTAGACGTCTGTCGCAGCAATTTTTCTTCTCTTCTTGACTACTTCCGTCCTCCAGGGAAGTACATTGCTGTATCGAATTCACCGCACCGGATCGTTAAAGCACCTAGCCCTGGACTGGTTTTGAGCTTGCGCTCCAGTCCCGCGAAGAATTCAAAACCCTCTACACCAACTTAAAAAAGCTCAACCAAACCGTCGCATCGACAAATAAACCACCAGAATGTCCGCCCGCCAGGCCTCCTCAGCCTCGCAAACCCCACACCTCTCCCCCGCCGAACTCTCTTACATCTATACCTCGCTCTCCCTCCCCGGCACCCCCATCCGCCCCGACGGCCGCTCATCAACGCAATTCCGTCCCTTAACCGCCGAAACCGACATCCTCCCGGGAACCAACGGTAGCGCACGCATCGGCTTCGCAGACGGGACGCAGGCGATCGTCGGCGTGAAAGCGGAAGTCGAGAAGACGGTTGTTGCGGCTGATGCATTAGATTTGAGGAGTATTTCGAGACAGGCGCAGGGGGAGAGTTTGGCGAGGGAATCTGGTGAGGAGAAGGAGAGTGGTGCTGCCGGGGAGGATGGGACTGCTACTGGGCAGGGGTCTTGGGTGCAAATGTCGATTGAGATTCCCGGGTTTAGGGATGATGATGCGTTGCCGGTTTTTTTGGCGGAGATGATGAGGGAGCCGCTTGTTGGGAGTGTTTCTGGTGGAGGTGGAAGTGGGAAGGGAGAGGATAGTGAGATGGCGGGTGGGTTGAAGGGGAGGTTGGTGATTAATCGCCGGTGGCATTGGAGGTTGTATATTGATGTGAGTTTCTATCTTTCTTGTGATGTTTGTGTTGGGAGTTGTGCTAACGATTCAGGTCCTTCTTTTGTCGCAACCACTGTCATACCCTCTTCCGCTACTCTCCCTTACAACACATTTGGCACTGTTATCAACAAAACTCCCCAAACTCAAATCCAAAGGTGAAGAAGACCCCTTCTTCGACGACGACTGGGCCGCCGCCGAATACCTCTACCCCCGCACCCGCACCACAATCAACACCCCCAAACCCGCCTCCCAAAACGTCCGCCCCCCAATCACCCTCCTCGTCCTCTCCGCCGGCGAAAACATCATCTTCGACCCTAGCCGCGAAGAAATCGCCGTCGCAGACTCTGTCCTCGCCGTGTCCATCACCCGCGATTCCGAATCCGGGGGCCTGAAACTGCTCTCCATCCGCATGGTCGATCCGCCGTCGAGACTGACGCAACCTGGGGTTGCGAATTCGGAGAATGTGGCTACGTTGGGGTCTACGGAGGCGGCTGAGGAGGCGAGTTTGCAGCATCCGAGTGTTGGGGGGGAGGAAGAGATGGCGGGGGTTTGGAGGCCGAGACGGGGGGGTGTTAAGAGGGGGGTTATTGCGAGGATTGTGAAGATGGTGTTGAAGAAGGGGGGTGTGGGGGAGGAGGTTTTGGAGGGGTTGGAGGGGGTTGAGGTGGGATGATCTGTTTGGTTTTGTTAGGGTATTGTGATTATGCCGAGGCAGTTTGCATTGCTTGCCAGAGATGATGGTTAAGCAGAATGACTACGGGCAAGGAGCACACGCCGCGACTTTGTTACGAGGCACCATTCTGTTCAAGAGATGCGATTCAATCGTGTCACAATAATAGATGCTGTATGTACATAAATAATAGTACAGAAAAGTTCAAGTCTGCTCCATCTAATCATCCCCATCTCCCATTCGACCGACTCACTCACGAGTAATGCGAGACCCTACATCCCCAAACCTCAAATCACCAAATCCCAAACCACTTCTTAACCGGCTTCTGATTCCCCTCCCAATCAACAAAAGCCTCCTCCTTCCCATGCACATCCCGCGCAACAGGCGACTGATCATCAACAACCTCCTTCTTCTCCACCTCCTTCCGCGTATCCTCCTCCATCCCATGCGCAACCCGATACTTCCTCCTCTTCTCCGCGTCCTCGACGCGCTGCAGACGCTTTTCCCGCGTCATCATGGACCGATGCTCCACGTCCATGCGGTAGACGGAGAGAGCTTGCGAGACTGTGTCGAAGGGGTGCGAGAGGAGGTTGGACCAGGATGGTAACAGGTGGGTGTAGGGAGAGGTGCGTTTGAAGTTTGTGGTGAAGGTGAATGTTGCGAGGGATGTTAGGATACCCTATACCCCATTAGCATTTCCCCCACCAATACCTAGTCTGAATACAGGGGTGGGAGGGGAGTACCATAGCAATCCAAACATGAATCCACCGACTCGTCAAAAACCTAAACATAACCGTACCCTCTGGCGGGAACATATTCGGATACTCTCTTGTCTTCTGCTCCTCTTTTTCCTTTTCCGTGGGCTTCGGGCCCGGGTAATTCACGGGTCCTGCGTTGACTTTGCCATTGCGGGTTTGCACGACGCGGCGGGCGGGATGGGAGGGAGGGCGGAATTTGTCGGGTTGGACTAGGATGCGTGGTTTGGAGGGGTCTTGGTTCTCTTGGGAGTGGGAGATTGGGGTTGTGGTGAGGGTGCGGGGAGATGAGGATGCGGCTGGGATGCGGTGGTGTCGGAGGGTGCGGAGGGTTCTGGCTGATGGTGCTCCCCTAGGAATGAGGAATTGCGGGATTGTGACTGGCATTTTATTCGCGCGAATTGAGTTGCTTGAACCAGGACAATGGATGACTCCTCTGTATGTATGGCTGCGGATGTTTTCGATGCTCGGATTTGCGTCGGGTTTTTTCTGCCGGGCGGCCGGGACTTACATCACATGACTTTAGGATCGGAAAATTTACTCTCGCAGAAACAAAGGCGGTAAACCCTCCACACCGCCGAGACTAAGCCGAACACAGTACGGACCATCCCACGTGACCGAGATCTGGCAAATGGGAAAGGGGTCATTTCCAAGGGCAATGGGAGAACGGGATTTGGTGGTTAATCGGTTGGTGAAGTCATGGATATGCCATGATGAGGGCATCTTGCCTACACAGATGTTATGCGGCGACAGGTAAACGGTTGCAGTATTAGTAATTGAGCTATATCTCGTTATTCCCTAGATCTACAGGGATAGAATACCTCATAGTAAGCAAAAAGAATGCACAGAAGCCAAAAAGAATCACGGATTCTTCGAATAAGATCCCGAACCCACCCGTTGCGCTCTGAATCATCGACACGCTTATTGGTCCGCGGCTTGATCACGGGAGCCGCCGGGGGCGATTTACGCCGGGCGCTTTTGCAGTACAAATTCTCCCAGATTTTTTCGAGGGCGTCTGTTGCTTCGTTTCCGTTTTTTTCTCTTTCCCTTCCTTCTATTCTCCAACTTCCTTGTGTGATACCAATTCTTGTACAGTTACTTCTTTTCAACCCTTTAATCACCTTACACACACATTCATCATGGGCAAGCAGGCCTCTTTCGCTCCCGGTAGGTTGTTTTCCTTGGTTTTGTTGGTTTCGCAAGTCGATCAGGATTCGTGGGGGGGTCGACTTCTCGGGACTGGAGGCACTGAGGGTGCTCTGGTCTTGGTAAGAGGATGCAATTTTAGGAATTGAACTGTGTTTGTTTTTGCTCTTGTTACATCAGACTTGTTGCGACTTTACCAACTGTCGCACGCTCTGTTGAGACTCGAAGGGATAACGAGAGGAAAGACTAGCACCATGACCAGTTGCGACAATTCCTGCTTCCTCATGACCGTCGACTGCGCGAGACCGAACTCGAAATCGAACAGACGGCTAACAATTCCTCTCCACAGGTGACGCTGGCAAGGGTGCCAAGCTCTTCCAGGTGAGTAGATACGCGAAAGCAGACGAATTCAACGGCGAACGAATACTAATTGTGCGCTTCCTAGACCCGTTGCGCTCAGTGCCACACCGTCGAGGCTGGCGGTGCCCACAAGGTCGGCCCCAACCTGAACGGTCTCTTTGGCCGTAAGACCGGTCAGGCCGAGGGATACTCCTACACCGACGCCAACAAGCAAGCTGGTGTTACCTGGGACGAAAACACTCTGGTATGTTATCTGCCACCATCAATTCTTCTAGAATTCGCCTCTGACGCAATTGCAGTTCTCCTACCTCGAGAACCCCAAGAAGTTCATCCCCGGTACCAAGATGGCCTTCGGTGGTCTCAAGAAGCCCAAGGAGAGGAACGACCTCATCACGTAAGTTTTCCGTCTTTCGGGTTGACTAGCTTGTTTCATGTTCGCTAACATTGTTTTTTTTTTTTTCTTCCCCGACAGCTACCTCAAGGAGAACACCTCCTAAATTACGCGATGATGTCTGCATAAAAATTTCCTTTGATGTTCTTAACCCGGCCCGTGGATCGATTGCGCGCCCTGTGGTAATAGCAGTTCGTGGATGGTCTACCGGGCAGGGCATGTAATATTATCACGTTTCCTTGTTTTTCTCTTCTCTCTACATGCAATAGACCGGTATTTATGTGTGTGTTGGGCCTGGATATTATTATAGAGTCATGTTTTATTACAGGACTTGGTTTATGGGTTTCTTTTTTTTTTTTTTTTTTTTTTTTTTTTTTTTTGCTTGTTTTTTTTGCTGTGTGTATCATGATTAACCTTTAGGTCAAGGAGGCCAGTTTCGACTGAGCCAGTAACGAATACAAAACATCTCCTCTCATGAGTTGTCTCTTTTCTTGACTCTTTCTCTTGTTGCTCACCGGCAGATCATTTTTCGGAATCGGATCGGACTACGTGCGGTCCGCATCACGTGTGTTATTCACTGCCTGGGCACTGCCTGAGGTGTTTATCTGCGAATGCCCAACGAGCGATCCCTTGTCAAGCTCTGATTGGTGGGTATTATTGGACGGACAAGTCATGTGCCAGTCCGACTACTGCGCATTGGCCGTTTGATTGCACGGTGGGATGTAGCAGGTACCTCCTTAACAGCGTGCCCTGCAGCCCAAACGCAAGTACCGTCGACGTGCCCTCGCATAACTCGATGCTGGTAACTACGATGAGTCTGTACGCCACAGCACGCCACGCAGGGGCACATGACCAGCAGGTGATTGGCCCAGCCACCGCCTGCCCGATTCGATTTGGGATGCGAGGGGTATCTCTCTCTCTCTATCAGTCCAACTTCTCTTCATCTTTGTTCACTCTACCTCATTCACTGGCATTTTTAATTTCTCGCTAGCCCCGCGTATTGCAGTATAATCCTATCAGGCGTGAAAACGACCGGAGTAACAAACAGTAAAACACGTGCAGAAACGAGTGACTTGGCTCCGGAACCCGGCAGTCCTCAGGCATCGATCAACAGCATCAACTCCCTTGGGTGCATCGATCGCAGTGTCCCTCCCATGCCTCGCGTTGGTTTACTCCTAGCTTGGGAATCTCTGACGTGCAGACTCTTCCGTACTATCTTTTGCTCTACCACTACCACTACTATTCCCCTCTCATCGTCTGTTCCTGTTGCCGGCGCATACTACAGTGTTTTATATCACTCGTGCCCGCTATCGCTATCTTATCGCTGCGACTAACCTCGTTATCATATCATCATCTATCAATATCATCGTCTTTCATCCATCCATCTCTCTCTTTCTCTTCTAGGAACCATTGCCTCCTTTGGCTGTTGATTTGGGCAACCCCCTACAGAAACAATATTGCTGCTCAGGATCTGCGATACGCCGTCCATCATGCTGGACGAGCTGGATAACGTCTTTGACGATCATCCATCCTTGGATGCATCGCTCGAGGACTTTGAGAACAACAGCAATGCTCATCGCTCTCCTGTCTTTGGTCTACCTTCCCAGCACTCTGGCTTTCGCTCTGAAGAATCAGACATCGAGGAAGACGATACGACCCCCAACGGCGAGCGCTGGTCTCCTCCGGGCCTACGTCAATACGAGGGTAATGGGTGGTACCGCCATCAGCCCTACATGCGCAAGGTCGATCACGATCGCCTGCTGCTGAAGCCCACCGTGGGTCTGAGCCCGAGAAACTCGCGCGAACCTAGTCCTCAATACGAAGATGCCAACGAGTCGCCTACGGTAGGAAAACGCAGTGATACAGACTCCAAGGATATCATTGTCGCTGCCAGCGTGCCTCTGCCAAATGGTGGAGATACCCCGTTGAAGGGTCGATCGCCCAGCCCCGGTCCTGCTCCACGAACTAACCACGATGACGGCCTTGGATTTGGTCCTGACAACAATCAAATTAGCAATTGTAGGCATTTACTCTCTTAAGTTTCTTCCCTCTCCCCTTGTTTAACGTAGGCTAATATGTGTTGTTTTTGCTCTCTCAAGACATTCGGTTTGCCGTACGCGCAGAAGTCCAGCATCGCGAACCTCTGGCCGCCATTTGTTCCTATTTCCGGTCCAAGTTCGATCGTATGACTAGTACCAAGTCTAGTGCCACCCTGTCTATCGTCCTACTGTTGCTCTCCTTTGTATTCTTGCGCGCCCTGTTCCTACCTAGCGTCCCACAGGCAATTCCCGATTTGGTCAAATTGTCCGGCTTTGCGCGCTCCTTTGAGCCTCTGATTTATTATTCTGAGAATGGCGTCCAGCAGATTGGAACGCTTCAAGAGACTGGTGTTGCTGTTTGGGACTTGAGCGAATCGGTGCGCGGTACCAACATGACCAGCGCGCCGATTATCGTTCGCCAGCTTGACGAGTTATCTGAGTCTTTGAAGTCGCTCTCTCTGGAGTTGACGCGGTTCTTTGCGAATGTTGACTCGGACATTGACTCCATTCTTATTGTCATGGATTGGGCTAAACGAGAACTCGAGACACTGTCATCGCAACCACCGCGTACCTTGCCTTCCATCGTCTTTGATAATATGAACGACATGTTGTCGCAACTGGGAACCCTAGAACGCATCACCTTGCCCAATCGAAGCGAAGCAGACGGAGACGGTAGTGGTGACAGCGCAGACGATCTAGCGACTACTCCCACCGTATTCGGAAACATTGTCACAACCATCTTCGGGCAAACTGCGGCTCAACGTACCCGAGCTACACTTACGCGCACGTTCACCGAGTTCCTATCCGTCTTGGAGGAATCCATCAACAGCGAATTAACCCATTCCACCGCCCTCTTCGCCCTTTTCGAATCCATCGATCGCCAATTCCTAAACCTCCAACGCACAGTCGTCCGCGAATCCGACGCCCAAGAACGCGCCGAAGGCGAAATGCTCAGCTCCCTCTGGACCCGTGTCCTGGGACCCGACGCCGCAATCGTTCGCAAATACGATAAAAACAAACGTCTCCTCGCCAACGTGCGTAGCAGAACAGTCGCCAACAAGCATCTCCTGATGGACCACCGCGGGCGTCTGCTGACTCTGAAAGTCAACCTTGAAACGCTGCGTCGCAAACTTGTCAGCCCACTCGTCCGCCGCAATGACTCCGTTAGCTTTGTTGGCGTTGAGTCCAGTGGAGGGCGCAGTAAGGGACGCATGCTGGGACCTGTTGAAGCTGTTATTGATGGACAAATCCGTGGATTAGAAGGGACTTATGATTACCTGCGTTCTGTGAGAGAGAGACAGAAGGCGAAGCTTATGGAGATGGTCTACGGCGCTGGCCGCAGGCTTCCGTCGAATTCGATATTGACGGGGTCGGATGATGGTGCTGATGCCATTGATGGATATTGATCTTTGATCTTTACCTACGACGCGTTTTCTATCTCTTTTGTTTACGGCATTCGCACACTCGGCGTCAACGGCTCCTCGGATCGGTATCGGTTTTTCGACAGTTTCCTTATCATCACGCGTATTAGCCTGGTGTCTTTCATTAGCGACTTCGGCGTCTACTCGGACGGCTCTCTCTTTTCATTACGGTCATTCCCTGGCAAACCTGGCGCACACATGGCGAATTGGTAGAACTGGGGAACCACACGGTCGGTGTTATATTTGGATTGCATCTCCTCTCTTTTTCTCTCCTGCCGTTGTGTCTTCTATCTCGGACATGGACATGGTACGGAGTACATATAGATCACGGGTTTCTTTGTCTTGGGTGGGTGGTTTATCTGTCTATCTGTCTGGGCAAGAATATGGAAAAGGTTACGGTTAAGGTTAGGGTACAGGTACAGGTATGGTGAAACGGTCATGGCGCATATTGGTGCTGACTGCATTGCGTGCGTTGCATTGCGTTGCGTTGCGCTGCATTTGCAGTTGCAGGTGCAGTTGGGTATGCTTTCGTTGTTGATATTCGTTAGGTTTTATTGGTTTTGGGATAGCGTTTTGTTTTTCTGGATACGGTTATGATGGACGTGTGGTATGTGGGAATGTAGGATATGCATTTGCCATGTGCGTGGATATTTGAATGGAATGGATTTTCACTTCTATTGCTTACTTGTAGTCTCCATGCGTTCTGTCCTTGATCGCCGAATGGATTACCTAGATTAAGTTCGTTTCAATGTAGATTTTGCAGCTGCAGCTGCGTATGTGTCTGTCTGCGGCTACTGCTTTAATGTGAAAGATCCCTGTTCTTGTTCCTGAATGGTATAGAATATATATCGTTCATTACGTCAGTTGCATATTGTATCTTGCAACCTGGCACCAGAAGTCAGGTGGGATTCAGCAATCCAGATGTAGACATAGTTATAGCATGCTTGTTTAAACGTAAGCCGCTTTTGGCTCCCTGAACAGCCCGGAGCGTACCTCGATTGCTCAGGCTTGGGTCACTGCACCCCCGACAAGGGACCCAGATAAAACGTGTAAAGCCAAGCTTGTAATCTCACCTCATCAAAACCGACCCGTTGGTTTAATGGTGCCATAGAGCAGCAAAAAGTCCAAGGTTAAGGCTGGTGCCAATTGTTCCATTCAGCCTCGTTGTCATGAAACCTTGTAATCTTCACACTGTGGATGTACATAATTCTTAATACCGATTACAGTGTACTTGAGGATCCAAATCTCTGCAATTAGCATTGGGACCTTTCAGAGCAACAAAATGGGTTACATGGAATGGCGCAACCGTCAATTCTGGGATAAGCGCATTAATGACTACAGAAAACGGGGAAGTCCCTTCTAAATTCAATATTAATGTCCATACACGAATGAGTTTATAATTATACGTGAATCCAATTGAATACCAGAATTGTATACAATATATATGGTTGTATGGTGTCTGCCCTAGACGGAGTGGGCACTATCAGTTTTCCATTTGGAATTTTTAAAAAGGGCTAAAACAAGAATAGATCCTTCCATGGGTTGTATATTGTGTTTCTCATCAAAAAACGGATAGTTAGCTATGGTATGTTAAGCTGAGGCAATGACAGGTCTTAGAAGCTGTACGAAGACCAAAATTTATAGGGCCCCCTTGTGAAAGGAGACGTTATTCCTCAAAATTGATCCTTATTTACCCTACGATATTACACAAAAAAATCCCAGAATGGCTTACATACATGAAACCTTATCACAGCTCACATAATTCTATTCCCAAGTGGGCTGAAGTAAACCTCTATATGCTATGCTCTACAAAATTTCCATAAAGAGAGACCCAAAAAAGAGCCCCCCAAAATCCAGCAGCAAAAAGAGAAAGTCATTACTGTCCATATTGGGTTAGCAATGAATCTAGACTGTCCTAGCCAATGCCCAATTCCTATGAAGAAACAGAGGGACGTGGCAGGATGCATTAGTTTGCAGCAGGAGGATACCAGCTATATAAATCTAATTATGGGGTTTGGCTCACCATAAAATCTTATAAATCTAATGGAAGTAGTAATATAGGATTCAGCCAGGCAGACCGCATGCTACTGAGACAAATAGGAGACCAGGTCAAGCTGACAAAGAGTATGAAAAGTACATAAACAGTTTCAGTCAAGGTCTAGGAGATGACGACAGTTATGCAGTCCCCTTATGATTTATCTGTCAGTTGTATTCAGATTTAGGGCTATATGGATAAAGTGATTGTTGTCACGGGCTCGTTAGCTAGTAGATATTGACGAAAAGATATTGTTATCTAAAATAACTAGTAGCCATTGACGAGAATATTGAATCTGAAGAAGAAAATAAGAGAAGAGAGACCTATTTACACGAAGAGATTTTATAGGGGATGTGTGACATCGCTAAGCAGCAGTTTGTCTTAATTGCTCGCATGGCATCGTTTGCCATGTTAATGGTGTTTGTCGATAAAGGCGCTGAGCTGAGCCGCTGAGCCGAGCCGTCACAATCGTCATAGCAGAAAATTAGACAAGTCTGTACTGCAGGCAATAAATCTAAATATGTTTGGTTTTATCTTTTGGAGTATGGTTACGGTTGGACACGTCCCCTGGGGGCAGCCAGCTGATACGGTAGCGCGGTAGGATAACCGCAGATACTAGATAGCAGCAGGAGAGCGTATGTATGTACAGAGTACTGGAGGCTAATATATACATGAATACTGCAGGTTGGTTGGAGACTGATCACTGGTCCTCATGACTCCTCGACCAGCGCCGTTACTTGATTACTTCGGCACGGTCACAATATACAAACGCTAATCCTAACCAGGCCGCCTCATCGGCCTCGTACTCGACTAGTGATGGGGAACTCCTAGCCCTCGCTCTGACAGGTATGAATAGAGACAGCCAACAATACATACGCCCCCTTGGACACCTCGTGAAAAAGATCAAATCAGTCCATAGCATGTACTGGCCTATCTAGTACACAGAGCACCAGTTTTGCCATGTATGTGACTAATAATTGTACAGAGGATGGATGGATGGATGGTTTCATTTACCCGACCTCTCGCAATTAAGCGATATGCAGGCTACCACAACTATATATATCCGTGTATGTACATGTGGGGCGTACCACTTCCTGAAAACGAACTTAGAGCCTCGTCAAGGCCTTTCGTGGCCTCAATTGCCGTTCTTGTCATTAGGCTGCCCTCATGGCGCGCGACTTCGAAACCGTTGTGATGCCTCCGCAAAGTCCAGTACCGCTTCCATCGTACTGGCTTGTGAGGCGTTATCACACTTACCTATCTTACCTTATCTGCATCCTCCCAGTAGACTCGACACGCTGTTGAACGTGTAGCTAACTTTTCTCTATAACGTTTCTTGTGCGCTGCACACGCACTTGTCGTCCTCTTGGAAACGGTGAGCCTTGGCATATGTTAATAACCAGGAGTGAGCCGTCCGCAGTTGCGTGAGCAGGTGGACTCGGTTCCTTGGAAACGAGCCATATCACCTCCTTGTGTAAATGGAAGGCAGTGTGGGGTCGATTCTGCGAAGGTGACCACCTTTGTTGGATGTCTTCCACTCTTGTTCCCACAGCGCGCGGATTTTGTCTCGAATAAGCGCTTGCTCCTTGAGAAAAGAGATCGAAATGAGTGTGTCTTGCCTGGCCTGGCTGCTTCCTTGGCCAATCTGTCTGCCGTGTCGTTCCCAAGGTCGTCACAGTGCCCGGGCATCCACTGGAGGCGGAGGGCGATCCCACTTGTTTTGACCTCTGTGGCTGTCTGTAGTATAGCATGGATGATTCATTGGCCTGAATTTTTGCTAGAGTTCTGGATTGCTTGTAGCGCGGCCCTGCTGTCGCACAGAATTGTTGCTGGTATTTGTCGTTGGGTTGTCATTTGCTGGTTCCGACGGGCGAGTTTGTACACCAAACTGATGGCGTGGAATATTCCAATCAATTCGGCGACGTGGACCGACCATTAGTCCATCAGTCCGACCTGGATCTGTCGATATTCGGTAACTTCCAGATCCTTGTCGAGTGCTACCACTGCGGCACCTAAGTGACCATGGTTTCCCGAAGCGTCCGAGTAGACGATGATTTCAGAGGTTGCCCGGATAGCTAGGGCTTTGTTCCTCGCTGCCTCTCGGTCAAATTCAACTTCGATTTCTTCAAACGCTGGGGGCCTCCACGGTGGAGATAATACAATGTACAAGGTTTCCAGGAAATAAGAGGGACTCCTTCCATTTAGTAACTAACTAGTAGCCTGACTTACCCAAGCACATTATGTTTTGCTCCCGATGCGAAAAATTTGCTGATTGATGGCCCAGAGAAGGTATAGCTAATTGAGAGTAATTTATAAATAATTTTTCTCATAGAGCTTAAATTTGTGAAATTTCAGAATCCAGGCGCCCGTCAACCATCTAGTGGGACTATGGATTATTGACAAGAGGGCCACCTCTGGCTATTTGATTCGAGAGGCCAACAGAAATTGATCCGCCTTTCTGATTGATACTGCCCTATTCTTGCCGCCTTTTGCAAATAATAGTTCTATTTATGGGCTATCTAAGCGGTCGGTGTTCCTCGTTTAGTGATGAATTGTTTTGTAACATCAACAGTAAGGATTTACACCCTGTATAGGCGGGAATCCTTTGCAATCGATTGAATCAGAATTATAGGAATTCTGGTGAAATGGTATATCTATCTTCAGAATCCCTTTTATTGCGAAACTTGTTATTATACATCTGCTAATTATGGGTTTGTGTTGGTTCATTCGAAAGGTGGCTTTGGTGGCCTAAGGACCGTCGGGTATCTTATTTCATGTCTAGGGCTTTTAGGGCTCTACACAGCACGTAAATAAGCTCCATCTTCCCCTCGACACTCATAATCTCACTTGTTCATATCTCATTATTTTCATTCTATATACGCGAAGATGAAGAAGGTACGCCAACCCAATCCGAATACATCCTGGTTCAGAGCCAATACTGACATACCAAACACAACAATAGATATTCTCCAACGCCCTTTTAGCTTTCTTTGCCTTGTTCACGGATAGAATCATTGCGGCTGTGCTAGTCTAGGCGATGTCTTGAGACATCAGTCCCACGAGTTAAAAACCCGGCAGCTCTGGTCCTAATAGCCAGGGAATCCTGCATTGTAAAGGAAGCTTGATAATTCAGGGCCCACATCTTCCTAGACCAAGATTAGTGTCTAGTTGGAAAGAGATCCCGCGGGGGCTTATCCATACAATTGACAGTAATGTATTCATTATACCAACAGCCTCTGTTACAACTTTCATGGTACCCATTGCTTCTAGCCAGTGAAGAAAGTGCTTTTTGAGAAATCGGTGTATCTGACCCTGGTCCTCACTTCACATTCCCTTGCTGCAGGTGACTGGCCCAACATCAGAAAGCATATTGGAGCTCTGTCGGCAGATTAGCTTGAACTGCCAAAGGATCAATTTCTGTCCTCAGAGTTCCAAAGCTTGATAGACTGCCGATTTACTTCTGTAGTTACGGTTAAAAGGCGCGTTTTGGTCGACGCGTAATGTGCCTCTGGCTGTGGTTCACTGCCTTCAATACAATAATAGCAGAACGCCGCTCAGCAGCAAAACTGTATTACATTACTTGAATTAATAATTATGCTCTAATAGTTCACTAGTCAAATTAGTTAAGTTAGTATAAAATGTTATTACTGTCTTTAGTTGAAGTCTTGAAGCCATGATGTATCCGTGCATGGGTTAGTAGGCGGAGCTGCTGGCGGTGATTTGGGGGCCATGTATATTACCTCCAACTTCCCTCTACCATATTCTTTCCATTTACCTACACACCATGGGGCGAGAGATTCCAACCAGTGGCCCTTTCACAGTCCTCCCGCAAGATTGCTGGGTGGATATCGTCCAGTATTTCTCATTTGAGGATCTCTTGTCCCTATCAACAGCATGCAAGGACCTGCGCGCGTCAACAGAGCATTTCCTCTATCAGCAGATTTCCTGGAGATTCAGGGAAGCTCTTCCCCTGCGACGACTCTTGCGTCTTCTTCGAACCACCCTGGACAGACCAGACCTGGCATCTTCGATACAGCTCTTGAGTCTACTCTCTTTCAAAAGCAAATGGATCATGCCCCAGCAAGACATCGACTGGAGGGAAGAAGCGCCTAGCTTCCAGGATGTAACAGAGAAGGCAATTAGTATTATCCAGCGAGCAAGGTTTACAGATGCAGAAGAATGGGCTGATGTTCTTAAGAAGGGCAACTTCTTTGCCTTTGCAGCCATTTTGATTTCCCAATTGGCAAATATCAAGACCCTTCATCTGGACTTCTGCTTTGTCTGGTTGGACGGGTTTCCTGGGAGGATGATAAAACATGCTGTTTTCTCACCAAACAAAGAACTGCCAACGTTCAGTTGTCTCCAAGAGGTTGATTATGGTGGAAATGTGCCCAATCCGGTGAAATACTGGACGGAAATCGATGATGGCCCACCAAATAGGTTCTCCGATCCTTACAACCACTCCCAATTCATAGGTTGGTTCAGTCTACCATCTCTTCATCATCTGGAAATTTGGCTGCGGGATATTGAAGAATTGAAAGAAAAGCCAGAGCTGGACCTCAGCCACTTGCATACACTGATTCTAGCTCGGTCAACGATACCTGAGAAGGATGTTCCATTTTTACTCCGCCGCACTGGGGGTCTGACGAATCTCCATCTGGGACTGGCACATGAGTGGGAAGAGCAAATGTTCTACGAGCATAGTGATTGTCTTGCGGAGGGACTGGGATTGGTCAGTTCTACGATTGAGAGACTTTCTGTTGGTCTTGAATACCACCCATGCTACTGTGGCGAATCCCATGGCGACGATGAGATGGAGGAATGGAGGAACCCATTGCATGGGATTTTGACCCGGTTTACTCGTCTACAAGTGGCAGAGGTGCCTATTACCTTTCTCCTTGGATTCAACCCCGACTATGCAGCCAACCTGGATGGCTCCATTTTGCCTGAGACCCTGAGAGAACTGGTTTTGCGGAATGATCTTGTCAATTTGGTCGGGTTCGAATGGTATGACGGCGATATCCTCGACTTCATTGAAAGGTTCTTGACACATTCAAGACACTCGACACCCCTGCTCCGCAAGATTACATGTCGGCGATGGAAACGAAAGTATAGTGAGGATTGGCCTGATGAAGATTTCCAGATGCAGCTGGCTTGCAAAGACACTGGTATTGACTTCAACATTGTTGTTGATCGTCTTTCGTCTGGTCTATGGAATGAACAGAAATGACACGCTAAAGCAGAATACACAAAGCACAAGAAGGTATCTATATACAAATCATCAAGGATGCTTCATCTTCAAGCCTCAAACTGAAATTCCCGCCTCACTGACTCGCTACGCGAGTGAGTGAGTGAGGCAAAAACAAAAACATACAACAGCCGGGATTCGCTGGTGGTCACCCACCCAACTACTAACCGGCCGGCGTGTGGCTTAAGTACGGCTGAGCGGACGGGAAGCCCTGTTCTCCACACCCTATGGTCGTATGTACTAGGTTTCTAATTAAAGCAAACTAACTATCTTCAATAAATAATGGCGAGGCTTCACCGCACGTGTTTCAAACCCCAGTATCGAGCGGACTCGGGATCCTCCGGGTGAACCACTGGGGATAGTCGTTCCGTGGCAGACCTGGGCCTTGTGGCACTGAACAATATGCGAGCCTGTACTCATTTCCTTACTGAGGAGAGTATTGCCGCCATTTGTTTCAGAATTGCGGATTTTGAATTTGGGCTCGGCACCGATATCATCATCCTGCTCTAGGAAAATATTGCATGTAGCTTCATCATCTTCGCCGAACACCATCTTGTATGTCGTTATGTAATTGGAGGCTCGACAGCCAAAAGACAACGGATGATTGAGACTTGGAAAAGAAGGCATCCACCAGCGAATCCCGGCTGTTGTATGTTTTTTGTTTTTGCTCGAGCTCACTCGCGTACCCTTCTTCTTTGTTGCTTAAGGGTGATAGTCGGGTAAACCTAGTTGGGTGCAGGTGATTGAGGTTATGCCTTTAGAGTCGAGGGTGAGTGTTGGGGTGATGAGTGGGTGAACAGAGCCATGCAAAACCAAACAGTACCTTATAAAAACTATTTGGCATAAGTAGGCCATTGTTCCACTTGAGCATTACCTTTTTCTTCTGCATTCTTCTGCCTCATGTCTTTCTAGAGACAGTTCTGACGCTCCAGCAACCATCATTGAGGCTACTCACGCAACATCAGCAGCCACCTCCTTCTTTGATCCAGTCTGTGTTGGAGCGCGTAAATTCGCCAATGGGGCGCTAGGGGCCAATAATCCCATTGATGAGGTTGAGGGCGAGGCGTCAGATATCTGGTGTGGGGAAATCGGGGACTTGAAACCGCTGGTGAAGTACTTTATCTCAATTGAAACAGGCAGCCCAGGCGAGAAGGCGATTGAAGATAATATGCTGAAGTTTCTGTCCAAGACCATGGTGGACCTTACAACCCAGACCGAGCAGACTGAGAAAAGGTTCATTGCCAAATGGCGGCAGCATGATGATAAGAAACGGTACTTTCGGTTCAATGTCGACCGGGGACTGCAGGATGTTGGACTGTCAGAATATCAGGAACAGGGATTAATTGAAGCGGCAACTGAGGGATACCTTAGTCACCAAGCATTCAAGTTTCAAGTGCGAGATTGCATCCACAACTTGAGCTCAAAGCAAAGTGTGTACATGGAGAACTTCTCATAGTGTCAGTAACCTTCCACTGACCATCCATGGTGGGCATAGACGCAACTAGCCAAAATTTCTTGATCACAATCAATGTTCGTGTCCCTGATGCCTATTATTGACTTTCGCTAAGCTCATATATGTCACGGGCTCGGAATAGTAGATACTAACGAACTGAATTCCTATCTAGACTATTGTAGCCATCGACGAGAATATCGAATCTGGAGAGGAAAGAAGAAGAGGAATCTATCTACAGGGAAAGGGGGTTTTATCTATGGGTTGTGTGGCCGCGCTAAGTGCTTTCTTTGGCGTTTAGGTGCTGATCAACACTGCCTCAGACTGGGTTGGCTTCCATTTGCGCTTCTAAAAAAAGAGTATTTAAATTTGCATGTGTTTTCTTTTAAGGTATCCATATCCCCGGTTGCTTATTTCCCATCAACTCCAAGCTTACACAATATTTCTCCCATACAAGCAAGTATAATGGCTACAATTCTAACCATGAGCAACCGGATGTGGATGCCATGTAGGGATTACAATGCCCGAAGGTATTTGTGTGGAATGTGGGGGTTGGACTTTATATTGCTGGTGGAGATATCCACCAAAAGTGCTGATGGGCAAGAAAATCAGGGAGCCTGGAAGCTGAGTGGACACACTGCACATAAAATAACAGTACTGTCTGTCTGAAAAACATACACAACTGTGATGCAGTAAATACGTGTAGATCAGATTAAATGGCGTTGCGTGTTCCAGTAAGTTATCAGTAGATAATCGAATTGCGGATAGCGGATGATAAGCCTCGGGAGTTGATTGAGTCTAACCCTTAGAGGTTTAAGCAATCTCCCCACATCTTCCAAGTGATCTACGAAGGACCTCGTAGACCCACCCCAGTTGACAAGCACTGAACCCCCGGGTTTTTTTTTTTTTTTTTTGGTTTTTAGCACCCCAGCTGGTATTGCTCCATGCTTCGGTATGTTTCCGCCTGGATCGAGTGGCCAAGGGTTCATGAGAGTTTATATTCGTGTTGACGGAGAGAACGCCCAGTTTGTGGGGGACCTCGTAGATCCACCCCAGTTGGCCAGCACTGAACCCCGGATTCCCCATTGGATTCCACTCTCTTTTCCTAGAGCTTTCGTATAACTACACTTCAACATATTTGGGACAAGAATGGTACGCTGTTGCTTTGACATCGACCCTGCAACTATGTTCGACTACAATCTGTACTACATCCTCACAATTATCGCGATATCAAGCGGATCTATCCCCAAAGGTGCGTCATTTGCGTTATATCTGCACTTAATCAATGTTTAACACCTACAGGTTACGATGAAGGCGGCTTCAGCGCTTCCGTCGATCTGGCGTCCTTCAAGACAGATTTTCGCCTCCTGCCAAATCGAGGTCCCAACACTCACTCTCAAGCGTAAGACAGGAAGACCGTGGTTAGAGATGGAAAAGCTCTGTATCAGACACATCACCTGTCGTAGCGTGAATATAATTGTCTCAGGGAAAGTGACAAACACACTGAGGGACAATACGACAGCTGCCGATTTTGATCTCCACCCATACTTTGTGGGCGGAGCTGGTCACTCTTGTCGGTCAACTTCCGAAAGATGCCTCTTGCCCACTTGACACCCCCGCAAATTTCACAGGTGCCATGGAGAACCTCGTCGCGTATTTAGTCAACATCTTCATCGCCAAGTCCACGGTATAACTAGCAGCAACAGTGGAAGATATAGTTACACCACGATCTCGTAGTGGCTCGTGGACTCGGCCAATTTCCGGCGATTGAATCCTCTACCATGACTTAGCCGACTTGGCATACTCTGAGAAAGACGCTACTTTTCGCCATTTTGGGTGGTGCAGGAGGGGGCGTTAGCTGTCTTGGATCAGTGGAAGGGATCTTTGCATCTTCATTATCCCAGGAGCTGCCCACCTTGAATGTGGAGTGGGAGCAGACCAATTACACGCGTGGTGGACGGAAGGTAGTATTGCAACTTTGATCATTCTCCCCTCTCACGTTTGAAGCCTGGGTTCTGAAGCGAAGCCTTCAGAATTCAAGTAGCGGGTTCATGATCCATATCAAGCCCCGCATGGGGTATTGTTGCTCGCAAGGTTTCTCTGACGTCCGGGGATATAAAAGCGCGAGGGTGTTCATTCAATCAATTCGATATTCCTTCACCTGATTTACCGATGGCATAAATCAAACACACTTTTTTTTTTTTTTTATCTGCAGATAAAGTTCATATATCGATCACGACAACCAGCATGGGTCTTTTCGATCGACTGGGGTTGACCGACACTCCTAGGGATGTCTTCAATTATCGCCTTTTCTGGTCTGTGGGAGTCTTCGGTATGTATACCCTTAGGATTTCGGTACTCTATACTAAAGAAGCATCATAGGCATTCTTGGGGCCGGCAGAGGAATCGATGAAGGCCTAGTTGGCGGCATGATCACGCTCAGAAGCTTCAAAAACGAGTTTCCATTAGAAGTAGGTTCTGATATGGAGATCGCCAACCGCAAATCCTCTATCACAAGTATGGTGCAACTCGGCTCTATAGGCGGCGCTCTGCTGGCGTTTCTTCTGTGTGATCGAATCGGCCGCGTGAGGTCACTCCAGGCCCTCACTCTCCTTTGGGGTATCGGCTTCCTGATTGTCATTACCAGCTTTGGCAACATTGGACAAATTCTCGCCGGCCGCTTTCTGGCTGGCCTCGGGGTTGGTATGACTACTGTGGTCGGCCCGACATATTTAGCTGAGGTTGCTCCGAAGGCGATTCGTGGCATGTTGACGAATATCTTTGCTGGTGCTGTGTACTTCGGTGTCATGATCGCCTATTTTGCGAATTGGGGTTGTTCGGAGAACATCTCGGATTCTTCCCGTTCCCAATGGGTAATTCCGCAATCGATTCACATCATGTTCGCAGGGTAAGTAACTCAATTCCATAAGAATTCTCACGTTATCTCACAGACTGACAAGCTTCTGGATATCAGTGTCATCTTCCTTGCATCTTGGACCGTGCCGGAGAGTCCTCGCTTCCTTACAATGAAGGGAAAGCATGAAGAGGCTCTTGAGAATCTTTGCACGCTACGCCAACTGCCTATTGATCATCCAAGTATCAGATGTGAAATCCTCAACGCTCGCGATCAGCTGGAACGCGAACTGGAAAGCACCCATGGCTCTTCATTTTGGGGCAAACCAAAGGAACTTGTCACGGTCCCAGCAAATCGCTACCGTCTAATGCTGGGCGTCATGTCGCAACTACTCGGCCAATGGTCTGGCGCGTCAGCGGTTACCATCTACGCAACCAGCTTTTTTGCTGCACTTGGTAAGACTGGTCAAAGCGAACAGCTTTTCGCCACATGCATCCTCGGCATTGTTAAGTTTTGCTCCGCCTACATTTGTGCATTCTTCCTCATTGATTTCCTCGGCCGTCGTCGCTCCCTTTATACGGGAATTATTTTGCAGACTCTTTCAATCTGCTATATTGCCATTTACCTGGCCAAGGTTCCGGCCTCAACCCATGTCGATGATACTGGTACAGGCGACATTACAGGGTCTGCTAAACGCGCGGGCATTGGCGCAATTGCGGCTATATATATTTCTGGCTTTGGTTGGGCGATGGGTTGGAACTCGTTCCAATATCTGGTCAACGCGGAAATATATCCCAGTCGGTTGCGTGCCATAGGTTCATCTATCGTGATGTGCATCCATTTTGCCAATCAATTTGGCAACACCAAGGCTGTTCCCAGCATGGTCATTGCTATGACAAATTACGGCTTCTTTGTCTTTTGCACTGCAGTTTGCATCCTGGGCCTACTGTGGGTTTGGGTCTTTGTTCCTGAGACTGCAGGAAGGAGTCTTGAATCAATGGATGCATTATTCTCTCTGCCTTGGCACCAGATTGGCCGTCATGGGAAACACCTTTCTGCTGACGGTACTGACCACTTAGACGAGAATGCCCTGGAGAAAGCCGACGTGGTTCACCAGGATCGGACAACAGCGTAGAATGATTTTAGAGTGCGTCAGGCGTGGAATCTGGTTTCATTTGTCACTTTACCTTACCAAGGAAAACTATGTAGTTTACAAGACTATCTCGGGAAATGAAGATATTCAAGGTAGCAAAGCAAAGCCGAGAAAGGAAGGTACCTACTGTTGTTAGGGTTATGTTTGTAAGAATTGGCCTATCTTGCAGCAATCTCAGGCGTATAATCTATTATCTGCACGCCCCGGAGGCCTAGTTTCAGGGCTTCGTCTGTAAGTCGGATAGTATCATATGACCCCTGGATGTCTCAGATAGCGCTTACTGATTTACTCTTCTTCTTCGCCTATATAACCTCAAGTAAGCATCCATTCATTGGCTAATTTAGACACAAGAATCAATATCTATCCACAGATACTATCCTCTTGCACACACTCCTTCCTAACAAACATAAGCTATACAAGGATCTGGAGACAAATGGGGTAGTGAAACCCACCACTACAGAGGATTGTCCACAGGGACGACTTCTAGGGGAGCCCAAAGCTACTGGGGCTTCGCTACAGTTTCTGGCCAATACCAGTGTAGCTCTACTGCAGGGACATCTACAGCGGGCGGCGGAAACAGCCCGGGAATATGATGAATGGGGACTGGAAGTATTGGAGGAGGCAATTAGAACAGGGGAAGGGCAGGAGCGAGGGTAGCCTGAGCTGAGAGTCAGCCTCGGCCACACCCACTCTGCCCTGAAAACACAAGGAGAGCATTCCACTCGAAAATTCTGCGCGTACAGGCGGTTTGGGGCGAGGAAAAGGACTAGAAAGATAATAGAAGGGGGGTTACCTCAGGAACTCATAGGGACAAGAGACCGAAAGTCATCTGCCGGCCTCGAGTTTATGGAATATGGTCTGTCATAGCTTTAGGGCTCGATATGGACAATAAAATTGATTAAATAATAATAATAACAATAATCCTTGCGCTTGCATCACTGAGAACTAGGGCTTAATGCATGTATAACACAGGATAATTGCCTTGTCGTCAAGTCGTCAAGTCGTCAATTGATACGCAAAAACCAGTCCTTGAGATCCTATCATAGATAGGCTCGTCCATGCTGCGGTATTTCTACATTCCCACTAGAGAATGCGCAATGCCCCATCTGACCCTTAATCTCGCTTGGAATAAGTGGTTCAACTCCCCACTTGAGTCGCTGATACTCTGCTCCTTGCTTCTCTGAATTGTCTTCCCCATCATTAATGACATTGTCCTTTTCCACATATGAACTATGACATGCAGCAGCAATAGCCAGCCCAGACTGCAACTTCCAGCAATTGGCATCCCTGTTTTGAACCGTCGAAATCCCACCACAAGAAGGCAAGCCAGCATAATAAAACCCACTAACTAACACACCGCTGATGATCCCAACGGGTGAGTAGGCACATGTCACTGAATCCAAGTAAGGCTCTCTCCCGTGATTGAATCCGCGAGCCTGGATATTAACGATGTAAAGGCTCCGTGATATGAGCCAGTGAAGGATACCAGAACATGCAATGAGCGGAATGGCATAGCGGTATGGAAGAGATAGGAAGTAAGTACTCCATTGGTGGCCGTGCAGGAATGTTGAGACACGTAGACCTTTCCGGTGCACAGAGTAACTGTTCCATTCAACAGCTAGGGACATGCTGGTCCATACACTGTTTGCCATAAAGTACAATATTGAGAGGATTAGTTGAGGGATATTCGCAATGACTGTGTTTGTGATTAGAATTTTTGGCCAGTTTGATACTGATGAATGTTGCGGGCTCAATTGCACCCAAACCAGTGAACCAGCTGCTAGCAAAATTATCGCCTTTTCCATATGCAACATGTCCATGAATCAGGATGCTGAGACAAACAGCTATTGAAATTAAGTACCTATGGATAATATTGGTCAGTACACATCATAGTTAATAGGAAAACACGGGCAAGATACATACAATAAAAGACAGGTGGCCCAACGTCAAGTTGATAAAGATGACCACTTCCGATTTGGTCTTTCGTTGTATCGGAATTGGCTGTCAGTGGGCCGTTTTTTTTGTTATAAAATCCCTGGAGAGCAAGCACTTGCCCTTTGTAACTTCATCAGGACGCTTTATAAATGAAGCCACTGCATCCCCGGTCGTCAGAAGAGGAGCACGCTTGAGAAAATATGCAGTCATACTGATCACAAACACTCTGACTAAGTTGGCAATAATAACTACTAGCCCCAAATAAAAGTTGAACTCGAGCGTACATGTCTGAGATGGCACTTCAGCCAGGCAGTAGTCAACTTTGTGGCCTTTGACCACCCATTCATCGGGATGGGATTGTGCTATATTCCTAGAACAGCTCCACTGTGCGGAACGATTGTATTGGATAGGGTAACACATCCATCCAAAAGGAGGTGCTCGATCAGAAGTATCCATAACTTCCTCAACAGCCACCCAATCCAGGGAGCCGCTGCTTATGTTCGCGTTGTCCGCGATCAACACGAGACTGCCATATTTGGTCTGCTAATATGTAGAGTATGCAGATATGCAATCATCCACTTGCAATGTTGTAAGGGTATTATTTGCCGACTCCTGCATCAACCTGGAAACTGACTCACGACCAGGGTCAAGGGGGAGGTCCTGGGAGCTTCTGAGACCAGAAAAAGTAGAATTCCCCAAGAATATGTCGTATGAATTTGCAGAGGTTGTTGAATAAACTGTTGAGAGAGAAGCAAGATCACCTGGCCCGTGTTCCTATCTCCTTAAGGGCAGAGCTGGCTGAATGGGGCAGATTGTGAGGGGACGACGTGGGGTTTGGCATCAAGGTGCGGGGATGTTTGTAAGGGAAACAAAGAAACAAGCCTTGGGGTGACACTGCTTTTGCATCTGATTGTACCGCTTTAGTGAACATGATTTGTTAGAAGAGCTCTTACAAGCAACTGGGCCTTCTGTTTCTGATCCTACTGTCCATGGAGATCGACATGGTAATAAACGTCTTGCTCTCCTCGGCGGCTCAGTCTTATCGACTGTGCTTCTAGAACAGTGGTATGAAAGCAGCCAAAGCACTGGAAAGTCGTCATCGAACACCCCGAACCCAGGAATTGAGACTGACTCCTAACAGCGCGTGGGGAGCACCTATTAAAATCACGCGCAAGCAATAGTGCGTTGAGTTCTAAAGCAGAAGCATTTAATGTAGATAGGTACATGATCAAAAATCCCGTTCATCGTGGCAGTGTACAGTAGTTCCCGAAATTAGCTTGCCCCCCCGGACACTCTTGGTTTGTTTCCCAAACCCTACCATGAAACGTGCTAGTCCATATATGGTTACCTTTAATATTATCCCTGCTCTAATGGTAAGGTACTACATCGTAATGTTACAAGACTTGCTGTATATTACCAGTACGAGCAATACTGATTTTCTACAAGGTCCAGTGCAAACTGACCAAACAGCCTTGCCCAAGTAAGAATTTTGAGTCCTATGAAGTGGATTTGCATTACTGGTGGAGATTGATGGCCGGGATGCGGGTGGCACGGGCCAGTGAGGCGAAGCACCATGGCCCCCAGTTAATCCCCGTCAGCTGAGCCGATCGCGGTTGGGTGGTGGTAAAGGTGGATTGCGGGCGGCATGGCCCTGGCTTCCCCAGTCACTCTCAGCTGACGCGGTCTCCAGTGGGTGTGCTAGATAGTGATATGATGGCCACTTTTCCTCTTGCCCCTCTCACCTCACTACTTCACTTTACTGCACAATTCATCAGTCTGAATATTCTTTGAAACAAGACTATTCAATGGAACAAACAGCGGCGACAATCCATGGCGAAGAGCTGAACCCACTGGACAGCACTGGGCTCTGTCTGTTGTCCGTCGATGGCGGCGGCGTGCGTGGGCTCTCAACCCTGTACATCCTCAAAGGCTTGATGGACCGACTGAACCAGGCACGACCGGAGGGCTCTCCAATGAAGAAGCCGTGTGAAGTGTTTGACCTGATTGGAGGCACTAGTACAGGCGGGTATAATAATTAAAATTATTATAAAAGAGATATGGCTAACAGATACAGGTTGATTGCAATCATGCTCGGGCGGTTGGAAATGGGCGTTGATGAGTGCATCGCGGCATATGTGCAACTGATGAAAAAGATCTTCGAGAAACCTTCCAAACGGAACCTTGTTACAAGCCCCTTTAGCAAGATTAAACCACGATTCAACGCCAGCAAGCTTGAAGATGCGATTAATCAAGTCATCAGCAGCTGTGGAGCCAACCCAACTGATCTTTTCAATGATCAGGCTGAGCGTGGCTGTCGGGTGTAAGTCAAGACACTGAAGAATTATAATCATGCTAACATATTCAGATTTGTCTGCAGCATCACACAGGAAACCAAGGAAATTATGCACCTTCGCAGCTACCAGGTGCCCGGCAAAGATGAGATTCCTGCCACCATCTGTCAGGCTGCTCGTGCAACATCAGCTGCTACAACCTTCTTCAAGCCTGTATCTATTGGAGCACGCAGATTCGCAGACGGCGCGCTAGGGGCCAACAATCCTGCGGATGAGGTGGAGCGTGAAGCATCAGATGTCTGGTGTGGAGGCACAGGCGACCTGAAGCCATTGGTGAAATGCTTCATCTCGATTGGGACTGGCAATCCAGGGAAGAAGGCAATGGAAGACAACTTGTTCAAATTTGTCTCCAAAACTCTACCAGGACTTGCCACTCAGACTGAGCACACTGAGAAAAATTTCACTGCCAAATGGCGGCAGCATTATGATGAGAAGCGATTTTTCCGATTCAATGTGGACCAGGGCCTGCAGGAGGTCGGGCTGGCGGAATACCAAGTGCAAGGCCTGATTGAAGCAGCGACAGGGGGATATCTCGATCACCAGGCGGTAGCATTCCAAATGCGGGACTGTATTCAGAACTTAAAGTCAAAGCAGAGTGTGTATCTAGAGAATTTTTCCTAGCCTGTTATCCATTTGCTGATGATTCTTAATGGATAAAGATGGAACCAACCCTCATTTTGCTACAGTGGTTCGAGTCAGTGCTCCACTACCCAATTGATGGTATTGACTAACCTGATACAGGAGTATCAAAGAAGGCATCAAAGAAGGCTAATTCTTTTGGAGCAATGTATGCAGTGATTTGAACCTTTGTTCTCTATAGCTAGGGCTAACTCATGTTTAGGGCATGGCCGTACGCGGTGGCATGTGCCATTTGAGCGAAACCCCAATTTTACTGGCCGCAAGGAACAGCTTGATGGCCTCCAACAGATACTGGAACAGAAGTCTCACAGTACAAAAAAAATCGCAGTCATCGGCCTGGGTGGTGTGGGAAAGACACAGCTGGTCCTTGAGCTCGCCCACCGTATCCGAGAGCAATGGGCAGTTTTCTGGATTCCAGTCAATAGCCTGACCAACCTTCAGACAGCATATTATGAGGTGGCCAAGAAGCTTTGCCTCCCGGGCTGTGAAGCATATGGTGATCAAATCCTGGAATCAGTACAAACATACCTCAGTAATGAGAGCATCGGCCCATGGCTGCTGGTATTGGACAATGCCGATGATTTAAGCCTGTGGGATTCTTTGGTTTCCCTAGAATCAGGGAAAAAGCGCCTGGTTGACTTATTGCCGAAAAGCACCCAGGGGTCCATTATCTTCACCACCCGTAATCGGAAGGTGACCAATGACCTTGTGCAGGATGTGGTGGAGGTGCTGGAGATGGGTGAACCAGAGGCCACTCTTTTATTAAATGCCACCGCGGGTGTTAACGAGCTTGCTGAGACTGACCGTCACATGGTGCGGACTCTTCTTGAGAAGCTGACTTACCTCCCACTAGCCATTGTTCAAGCGGCGTCTTATATTAAGAAGAACCGGGTATCGTTCTCCACATACAAAGGTCTGCTGATGGACCAAGAGGACGAGGTCATAGGTATCCTTAGTGAGGAATTCCATGATGGAAGAAGGTATCGTGATATCAGCAACGCGGTTGCAAAAACATGGATCATTTCATTTCAGCAGATGTACCATGACGATCATCTGGCAGCTGAGTTTCTGTCATTGATGGCTTGTGTGGACCCCAAGGATATCCCACAATCAATACTGGTACAGGGGCTACTGCGGAGCAAGCAGACAAATGCTATTGGTACACTGGATGCCTACTCATTCATCAAGAAGCACAATGATTCAATGATGTTTGACATGCACCGATTAGTCCATCTTGCCACACGGGGATGGCTGAAAGAACAGAAGACACTACCCAGCTGGCAGAGCAAAGCGGTTGTGCGACTCAGAGAACTACTTGGGAATGTTGATCAGACAAACCGGGCACAATGGAGGGTTTATATATCTCACGCACAATTTGCAGTTATGGATCACGACAGCGCAGGTGATGAAATGATTGATCTTGCAGAAAAGTGTGCAAAATGCCTGGAATATGACGGGAGATTCCGTGAAGCAGAGACAATGCATCATAAAGTTTTCGAGTATTATGAGAAGGTGCTGAGACCGGAGCATCCCTCCACATTCGGCAGCGTCAACAACCTTGCTTTAGTCCTTGAGAGGCAGGGCAAGTATGAAGAGGCTGAAGCCATGCACCGACGAGCATTAAGAGACACAGAGAAGGTGCTGGGACCGGAGCATCCTGACACACTCGGCAG